AATGCTCCTTCACCCCAGGCCGGGCTTGCCTTCCTCCTGGTTGTCAGGAGGGATGTGTGTAGAAAGTTATCTTCCTCTTCTCTCGGATTCCCTGAAAAGTGGCCACAAAGAAAAGGAGAATGGACACGGCTGGTAAGCAGGACCTCCCAATTTCCCGCTTTGCCTTAGAGGAGACACCAGCGTGGCCCCCCATCCCACTTCTGCTTGCTCACTACCCTAAGGGCCTTGCCAGGGTCCTTCCCCTGCCTAGGAGGTCTTTCCTGTCTTGATATTACGCAAGGCCTGCAGCTGCCTCCCTGACAAGCCTCCAGGCTGGGCAGTAGAGCTGAGGCTTTGGGAAAAGAGGAAGCAACCTCTGAGGCTGGATCTCCTCTCTTGGGGTGGCAGAGCCCTGGGAAGCCACCAGCACCACGAGCACCTGGCCTTCCTTCCTGTTCTCCTGTCCTGCCGTTCACCAGCCTTGCAGCCACTTCCCTCAGTGGAACAGGTATTCCCATCATTGGAATGCGGGAGGAGGTCTGGGAGAGGGGCGGGGCTGAGATTTGCTTGGGAGTCTTGGGGGCGGGTGCTGGACCAGAACCAACCCAAACCCTAGATGCTAATCAAAGCTGCACTCATTACCCAAACCATTCCATGCCCCCAAATCTTCCCCAACCCCCATCCCAATCCCCATCCCAACCAACTTCCAGTCCTACCTCACCCCCAGTTCCACCCCAAACATTTCCTATGCATCATCTCCATCCAGCCTCAGTCCTGACCTTCATCCTCCCCCAACCCATCACTCTCCTCCCCATGTCCACCCAATTCCATCCCACATGGCAGCCAAACTTCTCCTTCACCCTGGCCCAGCTGCCGCCCAACCCTCATCTTGCCCTCATGGGAGCCCAGGCCCACTCGCCTCCTTCATCACCACTTCTTCATCCAAGCAGGACTCCCAGCACTGTCTAGCACAGTTTCGGGAATGGGTGCTTGGGCTCTGAACGTTTATAGCCAGATTGGCGAACGAGATATGGGATTTCTACTGCCCATTTCAACCCAGTAGACCTCGTTTATGGATTATATGGCTTTCCAAGTGAAACCTTTGGCTTATATTTGGGGCTTTCCGCTATTACGAAGATAACATACTCTGGAATTGCCCGTCTGTACCCTGATTTCCTATCTGGGGGGCAGAACACTCCAGATGGCCATGTCATCTCACTTCTCTCGTTCTCCAGCCTGATAGGGAAGTTAGGGAGGGGAGAGCCCTGGTGCTAGGAAACAGAAACTGAATCCTGCATAGCTGTCTGCAGTGAAATTACCTCTGCCCTTCTTTCTGGTGTCTGGGATCGGAGGTCAGGGACTCAGGGCCCCAGCCAGCCCTCCCCAGTTGTCCTAGGACACTGGGTCTCACATAGGCTTTGCCACTCCCTTGCTCTCACACAGGCAGCAAACATGGGCACCCACCATGTGCCAGGCCACCTCAGCCCAACCATGATGCAACATATACCAATTTGGGGGGTGGGGATTTAAACCCTGTCTTCAGAGCACCCAAGACTTGGAGATACAAAGTGAACCTCAGGAACTTTCTGAGGTCTGGGGAACAATCCTCTCCCACGTGGTCACTGCTTAAATAAGGGGTTGTTTCAAGGCTGAGGGGCTCTGGTCCCCCAATACAGGACTCCCTTCCCCAGGACTGGTAACCACCCCCTTACCACCAGGGGGCGCAGGGTGCACACCAGGTGCCCAGCTCAATTCAAGCCCTAGGAGCACCTAACCTTCAGCAAGAGGTTTTCAAATAGAGACAAAGGTCTTCCTTTCTGGGGTCTGTCTTGCCCCTTCTTTTTCCAGGAAGGCTCTCTGGGATGAGGCTGGTCTTTGGGGTGGAAGAGGTTGAGCCAACGAGTTGCACTCTGATGGGTCTGATCTCTTGGGTGTTGTAGCTGGGCCAAGTGCAGGTGACATCTCCATGCTGTGACTTGAGGTGGTTCTAGAAAGGGTCTTCTCACATGTTTCAAAAAGTCTCTTTTCCATTTAGGGGTCAGTAGGTCTAAAATCCCACCATTCCTCCTGTTGGTTCGGCATTGTCCTTTCCATGACCCAACACCAAATGGGAACAGCAGGGGCACTGGAGCCAACACGCCACTATCTTACTGATCGATGTCTCTGCTATAGTGGAGCTCACCCTCTTACCCAGTGTGGCTCTGGGCCCCAGACCCACACCTCCTCGCCACATGCCCAGTTCTGCCTTTCAGCCCAGCATCCAGGCCACAGCCACTGCCTGGGCCAGCATGAGCTTCTCCTGTGGCTAGGGATCAGGTATAGAGGGTGTGGGCACATCCTCCTGGGACAGGAGCAGGCCCAGGGCCACACAAAGAAAGAGGAGGAGACAGTCAGCCTCAGCAAATGATCAGACTTCTCTGCTGGAGCAGCCCAGCCAGGGGGCTGGGTCCCCTGAGAAACAATGCTCTTCCTGGCCTTCACATCTTTGCCTTTGCCACGCTCCCTGCCAGGATGTCCCTTGTCCCTTCACACTTGGCTAAGCACTGTCATTCTGACAGGCAATCCAGACCCCATCTAGGCCCTGGGTGTCTGCTCAGCACCTCCCCAGGTGTGCCCCCTGGTAGCCCCCAAAATCGGTTGGGCCCCACCCTGCGGCTGATGGGCTGGGGGCTGGGAGATGTCATGAGTTTCCTGTCCCCAGTCCCAGCCTCCCCCCCTCCCCCTGCCAAGTCAGCATTTAGGACCAGGGAGGATTGCAAAGTTTGCAACATGGGTTTTGGTGTGCATGTTGTAAAATGTACTTAATATAAAACTTAACTGTCTTAACCACTTTTAAGTGTACAAATCAGTGGCATTAGGTAATTCACAATATTGTGTAATCATCACCACTTTCCATTTCCAGAAATGTTTCATCATCCAAAAAAGAGACTCTGTGTTCATTAAACACTAACTCCCCACTCTCTCCTCCCCAGCCTTCCTCCTTGCTCCTTGTAACCTGTATTCTACTTTCTATCTCTTTGACTCTTCATACTCCAGGGACCTCATATAGGTAGAATCGCATAATATTTGTCCTTTTGTATCTGGCTGGTTTCACTTAGGATAATTTTTTGAGGTTCGCCCATGTTGTGACATATGTCAGACTTTCGTTCCTTTTTATGGTCGGATAATATTCTATCGTATGGATATACCTCATCTCTTTTATCCATTCATCTGTTGATGGACACTTGGATTGTTTCTACCTTTTGGCTATTGTGAATAAGGTGGCTGTGAACATGAGTGTACAAGTATCTGTTTGAGTCCCTGTTTTAAATTTTTTTGGGAAGATGCCTGGAGGTGGAATTGCTGGGCTTTTTGAGGAACCGCCAAACGATTTTCAACTGGGGCTGCGCCATTTTATATTCCCACCAGCAGTGCACAGGGCTTCCAATTTCCCCACATCTTCATCTCCAGCAGCATTTATTATCTTCTGGTTGTGTTTGCCTGTTAGTAGCCATTCTAACAGGTGTGAAGTGTAGCTGATTGTGGTTTTAATTTGCATTTTCCTATTGCCTAATGATGTTGAGCATCAGGCTTCTTGGCCACTTGTGTATCATCTTTGGAGAAGTGGGTATTCAAGTCCTCGGCCCAGTTTCTGAATTTGGATTGTTTGGGGGTTTTGTTGTTGCTATTTTTGTTGAGGTGTCAGAGTTCTTTATATATTCTAGATATCAATCCCCTATCAGATATATGATTTGCAAATATTTTCTCCCATCCTATGGCTGTCTTTTCACTCTCTTCATAGCGTCCTTTGATGTGCACGCTAGTTTTCAAATTTGACCAAGTCCAATTTTTCTATTTTTTTCCTTCTGTTGCTTGTGTTTCGGTGTCATACTTGAGAAATCCTTGCCTGATCCTAGGTCATGGTGTTTTTCACCCATGTTTTCTTTTATCGTTTTACGGTTTTATAGTTTTGGTTATGAGTGTTTCTGGCCTTTCTCCCCACTCAGATTCATATCTTTGGCACTCTGTTTTTTAAATTTTTTTAATGCTTGTTCACTTTTTGAGAAAGAGAGAGACAGAGTGCGAGGAGGGGAGGGGCAGAGAGAGAGACACATGCAGAATCCGAAGCAGGCTCCAGGCCCTGAGCTGTCAGCACACAGCGCAACACCAGGCTTGAACCCATGGACCATGAGATCATGAGCTGAGCTGAAGTCAGACACTTAACCAACCGAGTTACCCAGGCGCCCCTTCGTTGGTACTCTTTAGAGCCTCATTTCTAGCAGGGACTCTCGGTGGCAGAGAGCCCACCATCTTGTGCATGGTATACAGTAGACATTTAACTCATGTTTGCGGGATATGTGTTGTGCAGGGCTCTTGTGTCCTGTGCCCAGACTTGCCCAGCCGCCAACTCTAGGCCCCCAAGGACCACACCTCTCTCTTGCTCACCACTGCAAGGCCTAGGGGGCTCTGCACTGCTTCAGGGCACATGTCCTCAGCCCCAGCTCCTGAGAAGCGGGTGGTCACCAGCTTCCAAGGACGAGGCAAGCACAGAGGTAGCTGTGGGGCGGCCACAGGGACCCCGAAGGGCAAGTTTCAGCTAGAATCTACCTTCAAGCTGCACCCTGAAGACCGAATAAGGTTTCAACAGGCAAAGATCATTTGTGGTGGGGGCAGAGCTGGTCAGCTGGAGAGCCCGTGGGTAGATGGCAGTAGCCACAGGGTGCGTGTGTGGGGACCCGGGAATGGGAGCAGAACGGGGAGCAGGATGAGGACCTTTCAGGGATGTAAGTAAATCTTAAAGGCGGCACTTTGGAACGTGTTCGGTCAAGCCCCACTACGGCCTACAGTTGGTAAGGCTGGTGGTAAGAAGACAAACTTCAAACCATCAATCTCACTGGGTTCCATCCTCTCTGGGCTCCAGTTCCTGTTGGCTTGGGTGGGGAATTGGGGGGGGGGGGGAGGGAGAAACAGCTGTTCATCTGCTCTGGAGGAGTGTCCTTGAGGGGCTGGGAAAGCAGAACTTGGGGTGGGGCTGAGAGACGCACAGAGGGCTTTGTGGGGCATGTCACCAAGTGAAGGCATTCCCTGGTGCAGTCTGAGTCAGGGACGTGGGCTCCTGGCTCCCTGCCCTGCCCTCTCACTGGGTTGGCCAGCATAGCGTGTGGGGGGCACAAGGCTGGACTCTCAGCAGGCTCTGAGGCTGAGGTGCCCCGAGTTTCCCTAGAAGGCCCCCGTATGCCCCACCAGCACAGTGTGCATCACCCTCTTAGGCACCAGAACTAGTGTCAAACCTGCCATGGACTACCTGATCCAGCTTCTCCAGTTGACCTCATCTATCTCAGCAGGTGAGCTTTGCTGGCCTTCCCCATCTCACAGGGCCTGGCCTTGGTGAGTCGAGCCCTCCGTTGCCTGAGCAGACTGGACTGTGCCTGTTCACCGGTTTGTCTGCTGAGATTGAAGGAAGGCCCAGGGAGGCAGTGGCTGGTGGCGGGGGGGGGGGGGGGGGCGACACCCAGTGGGGTTGCTCCAAGGGTGCTTTGCTGGGGGCAGGGCAGGTTATGGGGACTTGTCTGGGGCAGATCTGAGGGCCCTGTGGTGGTCCCCGGCCTTCATCACTCTCCTCTCTGTCCCACCTCACCCTCAGGCCTGGCCTCGTGGGGTGTCTCCAGTCCCCAGGATGTGAAGGGTGTGAAGGGGTCCTGCCTCGTCATCCCCTGTGTCTTCAGCTTCCCAGCTGATGTGGAAGTGCCCCATGGCATCACAGCCATCTGGTACTATGACTACTCGGACAAGAGGCAGGTGGTGAGCCACTCGGAGAACCCCGAGCTGGTGGAGGCACACTTTCGTGGCCGCGCCCAGCTCTTAGGGCGCACTGAACACAGGATATGCAGCCTGATGCTGAAGGACCTGCAGCCTGAGGATTCGGGCTCCTACAACTTCCGTTTTGAGATCAGTGATGGCAACCGCTGGTCAGATGTCAAAGGCACTGTGGTCACCGTGACAGGTGAGGGTCAGGGTGGCCTAGCTACTGCCCGGAAGCGTCTCCCAAGCTGCTCCTGGCCCCATTGGCTCACAGCCCCAATCCTGAGCCCACCAGCCCTGGCCTAAACCCAGCCCCACCTCTCCCTTGCATTCACCCTCAGTGGGGCTGGGGATAGAAAGCAGCCTCTCCTTCCTCTTAAAGGACCCTGCTCAGGTCTTGCCCCTCAGCTGGACTTTCTAGGGTGTTCGGCCTCATGTGTGGTGAAGAGGAGTCCTCAGCCTCTGGTCTTTGTCCTCAGAGAAGCCCGAGGAGCCCACGATCGCTTGGCCAGCGGAGCTTCGTGAAGGCATGGAGGCCAACTTCAACTGCTCCACTCCCTACGTGTGCCCGGAGGAGCAGATCAGCCTGCAGTGGCTAGGCCAGGACCCCGTGCGCTCCATCACTTCCAACCACCAGAAGCTCGAGCCCACGGGCATCAGCCACTTGGGGACCCTCCATATGCCCCTGTCCTGGCACGACCATGGCCGGACCCTGCAATGCCAACTCTCGGTAGCCAAGCACAAGATTCAGGGCAAGATTCACCTCCAAGTGCAGTGTGAGTGTGCTGGGCGCCACTCCCTTGGTACTGAGGGCACATCTGTGGCTTCCCCAGAGGAAACCGTTCCCTCCTCCAGCCTGGGGAAACAGAGCCCTCACCCCCGAGGCAAAGCCAGACACGCTTGGACCTCCAGGATCAGGCAGGGCGAGAGACACCGCTAAGCCCTTCTGAGTCACATTTAATGACTTCCTTGTACCTTTTGTCCCTGAGGCCAGGTTGGGCAGAGAAGGGGAGACACAAAGAGCCAGAGAATTGGGGGTCAGGCAGCAAGGCCCCTGGGATTTATCCCAGCTCTGGAGGATGCGCTCTGTGTGTGTGTGTGTGTGTGTGTGTGTGTGTAGGAGGGTTCACCCCTCTCCTGCCTAAGACTATTCAGACTCATGGTGATCAGGGTATTGCCCAGACACCGCAAAGAGGTGGTGGATGAAAGCCTGAGTTTCTACCTGATTCTGCATCTTCCCGTCATGGTAAAACATGGCAGAGCCTGTTCTAGAACAACTGCTGTTCACAGGCACCAGGCTGCCTGGATCCATGAGGCGCAGGAGCAAACGGGGCAAACTGGTCAAGTGACTTGCCCTGCGGAGCCTCCGTGTCCTCTGTTCAGGAGACTCACAGATCTCAAGGAACTGGTGTGGAAATTGCAGGAGTGCTTGGCACATACCGAGCACTCTAAAATATTAGCTGCTGTTATTTGCCTATTTACCTAGATTAAGCACTTGAACATATTAGCTTCTATTAGCATATTTACGTAGTGAGAGGCTTTGGAACAAGATTTATAGAAACACAATTGTTTTGTGTGGTTGGCACCTTCCTCACACATGGGCTAACCGTTCTCAGAGCTCGTTTGACTCTGCCTTTGGACCCCTCCATTCGGTGTCTGGTCCCGTGCAGGCCACCTAAGCAGGCAGTATGGTGCTCACGGTCCCCAAACAGAACAGAAGGCAATGGACGCTGTCACGAGGCAGAAAGCCGTGGAAGGCAGTGTAGGCTGGATGCTAGGCCAAGCGCTGAATTATCAAGCCCTCAGTGCAAAAGGAAGGAATCAGGACCTCCTTGCGAGTTGGGGGGCAGAGCTGGCCCTGACAGCGGAAGGGATGGGCCTGACCATTATCCGGATGGGGTTCCTTAGGGCGGAGGGTTGAGAGAGGAGAGAAGGGCTGCCATTGCCCTCCATGGGTTCCTCGCCTGATGCCCCCCATCATGACTTGCAGATGCCCCCAAGGGTGTGGAGATCCTTCTTAGCCCCTCAGGGCGGAACATCCTTCCAGGTGATCTGGTCATACTCACCTGCAAGGTGAACAGCAGCTACCCCGAGGTCAGTTCCACGCAGTGGGCCAAGGATGGGACGCAGCTCAAAGTCCAGAGTCCTGTGCTGCAGTTGCCCCAGGTGGCCTGGGGTGATGCCGGTGTCTACACCTGCCAAGCTGGGAATGACGTGGGCTCCACGGTGTCGCCCCCCGTCAGCCTCCACGTCTTTAGTGAGTCCTGGGTGAGCCTGGGTCTTGACCAGAGGGTGGGGGTGGGGATCCAGGCTACTGTTGCTGAAGGGAGCCAGGCCAAGGTGCCTCCTGGAACGCAGGCATGGAGTCCTAGCCCTGTCTCAGATCGGTGACAAGCCTTCCTGGCAGGGTGGGATGTCACGAGAACCCTTGTAAACAGGACAAAGAGATGCAGTGCCCATCCAGAAGGCTCTGCTGCAGAAGGGGCGTGATGCAGAACATGCAGGGGTTTAGGCTGACTGGCTACAACCCCGGTGCCCTGGAAGTCAGCTGGGTATCCCCCCGCGTGCCCCATGCTGCCCCCACAGCGGCTGAGGTCCAGATGAGCCCAGCAGGCCCCGTCCTAGAGAACCAGACGGTGACACTGACCTGCAACACGCCCAAAGAAGCACCCAGCAAGCTGCGCTACAGCTGGTACAGGAACCACGTCTTGCTGGAGGACGCCCACAGCCACACCCTGCAGCTGCACTCGACCACCAGGGCCGATACCAGCTTCTACTTCTGCGAGGTGCACAATTCCTACGGCAGCCAGCGCTCTCGCCCCGTCAGCGTGGTGGTCAACCGTAAGTGGCGGGACAGGGGGGCACCGGACGCTGCCAGAGCCCAAAGGGCGGTCAAAGGGCGAGGGCCCCCACAGGAGGGTTAGGGTCCTGGGCCTGATTGGCCTTGAGCTCGTGTCCCAGCTCCGCATAACCCGGCACGCTTTGACCTCTCTGGGCCTCAATTTCCTCCTTTTTTAGAATCCTTTCATTTTGAAACAAGTTAAGCTTGCGAAAAGTTGCAAGGAGAACACAAGGAATGACCACCTGCCTTTACCTTAGTGTCCCCATTTGTTAACAGTTTGGTACGTTCGCTCTCTCTCTTTAAATATATATGTGTATGTATATATATGTGCATACGCACAAGTATGCATATACATGTGTATTACACACGTGCATATATACATATGTGTGCAAAAGTGTACACGCATTTTCTATGTAAACATATATATGGGCATCCCATATGTATATACGCTGTATGTATAGACATCCACCAGTTGGCTGTCATGTATCTGTTAGCCACGTGTTTACATTCTTCTTTTCAATTTATTTTTAATTGTTATTTATTTATTTTTGTGTGTGCACCATTCCTGGAAGTGCTGCAATACCAGGTTGATGCGTGGAGTGGACGGAGCAAGCTCCTATTCCATCTCCCTGCTCCAAAAATCCAAGTAATATATTGTCCTCAGATAGAGGATGTATCAGATATTAAACTGACAAGAACAGAGACGACACCTGATCATAGAGCCAAAAGGCCGAGAATCGATATTTTAAAAATTTTTTTAAATTTACATCCAGGGGCTCCTGGATGGCTCAGTCGGTTAAGCGTCCGACTTCGGCTCAGGTCATGATCTCGTGGTTTGTGAGTTCAAGCCCCACGTCGGGCTCTGTGCTGACAGCTCAGAGAGTGGAGCCTGCTTCAAATTCTGTGTCTCCTCCTCTTTCTGCCCCTCCCCTGCTCATGCTTTGTCTCTCTCTGTCTCTCAATAATGTATAAATGTTAAAAAGATGTTTTTTTTAATTTACATCCAAGTTAGTTAACATAGAGTGTAATAACAACATATAGTGTAATAATGATTTTAGTGATTCATCACTCATCCAAACAAGCATCCTCCTTAATGCCCCTTGCCCATTTAACCCATCCGCCCACCCAAAACCCTGCCAGCAACCCTCAGTTTGTTCTCTGTACTTCAGGTTTGTCTCTTATGGTTTGTCTCCCTCCCTGTTTTTTTATGTTATTTTTGCTTCCCCTCCTTTACGTTCATCTGTTTTGTATCTTAAATTCCACATATGAGTGAAAGCGTGATATTTGTCTGTCTCTGACTGACCTATTTCATTTAGCACAATACACTCTAATTCCATCCACGTTATTGTAAATGGCAAGATTTCATTCTTTTTATTGCTGTATTTATTTATTGTATATACATATACCACATCTTTATCCATTCGTCAGTTGATGGACATTGGGCTCTTTCCATCTGTTGGCTATTGTTGATAGTGCTGCTCTAAACATTGGGGTTCATGTCCCCCTTCAAGAGAGCACCCCTGTATTCTTTGGATAAATACCTAGTAGTGCAATTGCTGGGTCGTAGGGTAGTTCTGTTTTTAATTTTTTGAGGAACCTCCATACCGTTTTCCAGAGTGGCTGCACCCGTTCGCATATCTACATGTTTACATTCTCAAAATTGTAGATGATGTCCCTCTAGCCCTTAACTCCTCAGCGTGTATATCCAAAGGTCATTCTCATACATAACCACAGTACACTGATCACAGCCAAGCCATTTAATATTGATACAATTGATAATATTGATAGAGCAATATTTTTTAATCTACAGCCCATAGTTGACCCCATCATGTCCTTTATGGCAATTTTTTTTTTTTTTTTCTGGTCCAAGATCTAAGCCAGGATCCTGAATTTCATTCAGTTGTTAAGTCTCTTTATTCTCCCCTTTTATTTTATTTTATTTTTTTTTTTTTTAAATTTTTTTTTTCAACGTTTATTTATTTTTAGGACAGAGAGAGACAGAGCATGAACGGGGGAGGGGCAGAGAGAGAGGGAGACACAGAATCGGAAACAGGCTCCAGGCTCCGGGCCATCAGCCCAGAGCCCGACGCGGGGCTCGAACTCCCGGACCGCGAGATCGTGACCTGGCTGAAGTCGGACGCTTAACCGACTGCGCCACCCAGGCGCCCCTATTCTCCCCTTTTAAAAAAATCTTTATTTATTTTTGAGAGAGAGAGAGAGAGGCAGAGTGTGAGTGGGGGAGGATCACAGAGAGAGGGAGACACAGAATCCAAAGCAGGCTCCAGGCTCTGAGCTGTCAGCACAGAGCCCGACGCGGGGCTCAAACTCACAAACCGAGAGATCATGACCTGAGCCGTAGTTGGTTGCTTAACAAACCGAGCCACCCAGGCACCCCCAGTCTTCCCATCTTTAAAGTGGGGCCCCTGATCCACATTCACAGGGTTGCCACACTTATTGGCCAAGAAGACAAAGTGATTTGCTCAGCCCAGGGACAAAAGTGTTCACCAGGCACTCAAGAGCTCAGGGGTTGCCCCTTCACAGGGCATTGTGGGACAAAGGAGGTGCAGGGTCAGTCCAGGGATTGTCCCTGTCTGAGGATGACCATCACCCATCTGTCTCCACACAGACCCGCCCCTTGTGCCGGACCTAACTGCCTTCTTGGAGACGCAGGAGGGGCTGGTGGGCCTCTTCCACTGCTCGGTGGTCAGCGAGCCCGTGGCCACCCTGGTGCTGTCACACAATGGCCTCATCCTGGCCTCCACCCCAGGGGAGGGGGACCACAGCTCGCGCTTCAGTGTCTTCTCCAACCCCAACTCCCTGAACCTGGAGATCCGAGACTTGCAGCCAGGCGACAGTGGGAAATACACGTGCTCAGCCACCAACTCCCTTGGGAATTCATCCTCCACCCTGGACTTCCAAGCCAAAGGTAAGACAGGCACAGGGAGGCTGGTGGAGGGAGCCTGAGGAGGAGGGCTGCTCTGATCTCTTCCTCCCAGGAGTCCAGAGCACTCAGCTGAGGGGCTGACCAAGCTGTTTGGTAAAAAAAATAATTTTAAAAAAAATCACATCAAAGATCTGGACTATACCGTCATCCTAACCTGGGAGGTTCCTGAGGCCAAGGCAAAAGGGAAACATGGCAGGTGGCATTATTCCTTATGTACACATTTTGTCTCTGAACTTGAAGGGTCCTTCATATCCATCTGTTTTTTATGTATCAAATGTTTGGGGCAGGCTCTGTTAGGAGTCAGATTCAGGAGGGAAATGGAAAAACAGGGGCTTCCACATCTTGAAGGATGTACTGCCATTCCCTCCTGCTGGGGCCATGACAAACCGAGCTAATCGATCAAGCCAGGTTCTTGATGTAAGTCCGGGCTCTGGCTCCCAATCCTTCTCAACCATGCTGCAGCCAGCTACTACCCATAGATCAGAATCGGCATTCAAGGACAAATCCCCCTGATACCAAGAGGTTCACAGAGCTGATGCCGTGAAGCCCAGACCTGCCTGTAGTCATGTGGGGAGAGGTGAACCCTGGAGGCCTTCCTGCAGCAGGTGGCACGGAACTGCCGGTGTGCAGGGGACCTGATCCTCCCTTACTCCCTCTTTTGCCAGTGGCCCACCTCCTCATCAGCCCCACAGCAGAAGTGGTAGAAGGGCAAGGAGTAACACTGAGCTGCAGGAGCGGTCTGAGCCCGACGCCTGACATCCGCTTCTCCTGGTACCGGAATGGAGCCCTGCTTTTCGAGGGGCCCAGCAGCAGCTTTCATCTCCCTGCGGCCTCCAGCACCGACACCGGCTCTTACTACTGTCAGGCCAAGGATGGCCACAGTGCCAGCGGCCCCTCTTCCTCCGCCATCCTCACTGTGCTCTGTGAGCGGTCTTCCCACCAGCCCCTGCCTGCCGTGGGGAGGGTCAGCCCGCCAGCCACCCCCGCCTCCCTCAGGCCCTCCTGCTGCTGCCTTGCTCCGGGGTCTAGATCAGGAAGGCAGCCGCAGGTCTGCGAACCATAGAGCTCTCCACCCAGGGCTGAAATGTGGGGAACAAAGCTGGGGCTTTCTCTACCTCCCCACGTCCCACCCCCCCAACCCCAGCCCCTCTAGGGCCCCCTGCCTCTAGCCTCAAGTGCGTCGTTGGGCAGCATGTCCGGGCTTTTTCCTCCTGGGCTGGGACCTTGGACACCATGCTTCCATATATGTGTACACACTCATAGGCTGTGCCCTCACAAGCTCCCACAGCCACGAAGGCAGAACTTCTCAGCATAGGGACTGTGTCCTGTTAAGAGTGGGTGCCCCATGTTAGCCTGAGGGGCCAACCTTCAGTGTGTCAGAAGCACATGACGTTATGCTAGCCCATATGACAACCTTGTCCAAGCTAGAAAAATGGCATTCCTTCCTCTGGGAAGACTCAGTATAGCACTATGGCACAGCTTAGCATGAGGGGCATGGGCTGCATTCCTCCTACCCCGGTTTGGTTGTTCTTGTGCAGTGCACAACCTACACAGCTGTTTATGGCAACTTTAAGTACATGCCTTTGTTTAGTGTGGCTAGCCAGCTTTGAGTGGACCTGTACGACCCTGGTGGAGGCCATAGGATGAATGCCTATGCTCTTCCTCCTTATAGATGCCCCACGCCAGCCCACACTCACTGCCCAGCTGGACCCTGACGCCGCAGGGGTTGGGGCTAGACGTCAAGGACTCCTCTTGTGCCGTGTGGACAGCAACCCCCCCGCCCAGCTGCGACTGCTCCACAGGGACCATATTGTGGCCTCTTCTTCCCTGCCATTGGGCTGTGGGGGTTGTTCTCAGCACCTAAAGGTCACCAGAGCCCCAAACCTGCTGCGTGTGGAGATTCGTGACCCAGTGTTGGAGGATGAGGGTGTGTACCTGTGTGAGGCCAGCAATGCACTGGGCAACACCTCTGCCTCTGCAACCTTTGATGCCCAAGGTGAGTCATGGCAGGGAATGGGTGGCTCAGGGTCAGGGGCTGGTACTCGGGACCCTTCTACCCCTGGCTCCCCAAGGACGGTCTGTTAGCTGAAACCACCTCCATTCAGCAGCGGGAGCTCGCTTTGCTCCCCGGCCCCGTGGGAAGCCCAGGGGGTCTCATTCCTGCCTTCTCCAGGCTGGGAGGCTGGACTCCGACCCCACGGGGGAAGTGGTCAGGGTAAAGCCTGTCTCAGCTGGCCCGTGCTGCCTGCTCTCCAGCCACTATTCTGGTCATCACACCGTCGCGCACGCTGCGAGAGGGCACCGTGGCCAACCTGACTTGCAGTGTGAACCGGGAGGCCAGCGGCCCTGCCAACTTCTCCTGGTTCCGGAATGGGGCGTTGTGGGCCCAAGGCCCCCTGGAGACCGTGACGCTGCTGCCTGTGGCCAGAACAGATGGTGCCCTCTATGCCTGCCGCATTCTTACCGAGGCTGGGGCCCAGCTCTCCACCCCGGTGGTCCTGAGTGTGCTCTGTGAGTGACGGGCAAGGGCAGAGTTGGGTACTCGGGGGGTGAGGGAGTGGTCAGCGGGAGGGAACAGGGTAGGGTTGGGTTTGGGGGGGGTCAGAGCGTGGCTGGGGAGTGGACAAGGGCAGGTCTGACCTGTGTGTGTGGAGGGGGAGGGGGCACACAGGGGCAGCTGGACTGTGGTGAGTTGTACTGGGGGTGGCCTGACCTCCTTCCTGTCTGCAGATCCTCCAGAACCTCCAAAGCTGTCAGCCCTCCTGGATGTGGGCGAGGGCCATGTAGCTGTGTTCATTTGCACTGTGGACAGTCGCCCTGTGGCCCAGCTGGCCCTGTTCCATGGGGAGCGCCTCCTGGCCACCAGCCTGGGGCCCCTGCTCCCACACCATGGCCGCCTCCAGGTCAAAGCCACAGCCAACTCCCTGAAGCTAGAGGTCCGAGACTTGAACTTGGAGGACTCCGGAAGCTACCGATGTGAGGCCACAAATGCCCTTGGATCCACCAATAGCTCCCTCTTCTTTCAGGTCCAAGGTGAATGTCAGTTCTCTAAAGACGTGGTAGACCCCCTGGGGGCTGTTCTAGCCAGACTTTGGGCTGGGTCATGTGGATTTTGTGCAGAGATGTGAGTCTTTTCCAGGTTAAGGGAGTTTTTAGCTACCCAGCAGGCCTCCCTTTGTCTCCAGCCAGATATTTTCACCTGCAATAACTGTGCTAACCACTAGGGGGCAGTGGCAATAGCATAAGGTGGCTTGCTTGGTTGGAGCACTTCTGTCAGAAACTTCTTTTATAATATAATATTGTTACATAAGAATTTTCATACAAAACCGAAGACACCTATACTATGCATACATGTGCGTAATGTGTGTGTGTGAATATGAATATGCACACACATGTATACGTAGAAATATATACACATACACATTAATATACATGTATTCTTCAGTAAAAATCCTCCCTAAGTGAATAAGCCAAGAAAGAGGAAAGTTAATACCCATAAGGCTGCAAAGGCCAAGGAAAAAAACACCCTTTTTTTTCTCCCACGATGACAAACATCAATTTTCGAGCACTGTCCTTGGGCTTTGGTTCTATATGTCTTTTCTTATTTATCATACCCATTTCACTGGAAGAGACACTGAGGGTCAGAGTTTCAGGAGCTTGCTCATGGTCACATGACTAGCTAGCTCTGGATTGATTTGGTTCTGATTCCAGGCACAGCCTGTGCTCCCACCACTCCAGCTACCCCACCTCCTTGCTACCCACCCCAGCCTCGTCCCAGGGGGCACCCGGACAGCCCTTTGCTTGGTCCTCCCAGTTCGTGGGCTCTCATGACTTGGAGCCTGGGTGCAGAGCAGGCCTGGAGAGGACTCAAGACCACATAGTGGCTAACTTTCCCTCCAAGTCCTCGGCCACCCATGCTGGGTCCAGATCAGTATCAGGACCAGGCCCTCGGCGCGGCCTAAACCCTTCCCATTTCAGTGCTTCAGGGGGTCAAACCAGCATTTGCCAAGAGCTAACATGTGCAGGTGCTGTGCCTGGCACTGGGTTACAGGTCATATAGGCTGGGCCTGCACTAGGCTCACCTTCTGGTAGGTGAGATATGACTGACAGAACAAAACTGTGGCTCAAGGTGGTAGGTGGTAAAGGCCGGGATAGACCCAGTGCAAGCGGGTTGGCAACAGGACAGGAGGAGGCATGGAGCTGAACTGGGGCCCTTGGTGGTGGTGTGGTAGGTAAGCTATGGCTCCTGGACATTGGATTGAGGTCATGCAGTCCTGGTGTGCACATACATCCCTAGACTGTGGGAGGGTATTGTGGAGAGCCCTCACCTGCTCTTGGTTTCTCCCCACAGGAGCCTGGGTCCAGGTGTCACCGTCGCCCGAGCTCCGGGAGGGCCAGGCTGTGGTCTTGAGATGCCAGGTGCCCACAGGGGTCCTGGAGGGGACCTCATACCTCTGGTATCGGGATGGCCAGCCCCTCCCGGAGTCGAACTCGGCCACGCTCCACTTTGCAGCCATTACTGTGAGTCAAGCTGGGGCCTACCATTGCCAAGCCCAGTCTCCAGGCTCAGCCACCACGAGCCAGGCCGCCCCTGTCATACTCCACGTGTCCTGTAAGCTTTCATCCTGTCCATGTTTCTTCGGGGGTGAAGGAAACAAGGGCACAGCTGGGGGAGGGGTTGGGGGAGCCCAGGTGCCCTGACCACTCCCCACCTCCTGTAGATGCCCCTCGCCAGGCCACGCTCACCACCCTGATGGACACAGGCCCTGGGCGACTGGGCCTCTTCCTGTGCCGTGTGAACAGTGACCCTCCAGCCCAGCTGCGACTGCTCCACGGGGACCACCTCGTGGCCTCTACCCTACAAGGTGTGGGGGAACTTGCAAGCAGCTCTCCGCGGCTGCAGGTGGCTGTGGCCCCCAACACCCTACGCCTGGAGATCCACAATGCGGCGCTGGAGGATGAGGGCGTCTACACCTGCCAGGCCACCAACACCTTGGGCCAGACCTCAGCCTCTGCCAACTTCGATGCCCAGGGTCAGTGTGGGGATGTGAGTGTGTGCATGGATGGCTCCTTTAAGAGAGGAGAGGAGGCTGGAGAGGGTTCTGGAAGCCTGAGGCACAGCAGGTGGGCTGAACATAAGGACTGTCTCCATTCCCACCCCCCCTTTAAGGGCAGCAATTTCCAGACTTGGGTTTCATGGAAGAACCTGCTTTATTTTTTCATTTTTTAAACATTTTTATTTTGAGAGAGAGAGAGAGAAAGAGAGAGAGAGAGAGAGAGAGAGAGAGAGAGAGAGAGAGAATCACAAGCAGGCTCCACGCTATCAGTGCAGAGCCCGACATGGGACTCAATTTCACAAACCGTGAGATCGTGACCTGAGCTGAAATCAAGAGTCAGACGCTTAACCGACTGAGCTGCCCAGGCACCTGGAAGAGTCTTTTTTAAAAACAGAAGTTTGCTGGGGTGCCTGGGTGGCTCAGTCAGTTAAGTGTTCGACTTCGGCTCGTGTTCTCACAGTTCATGGGTTCGAGCCCCGCGTGGGGCTCTGTACTGACAACTCAGAGCCTGGAGCCTGCTTTGGATTCTGTGTCTCCCTCTCTCTCTGCCCCTCCCCCACTCGTGCTATGTGTGTGTGTCTCTCTCTCAAAGATAAATAAAACATTAAAAAAACAAACAGAAAGAAGGTTGCCTGATGTCCAGAGGATAAAGCTAATCAAGAGAAAGGAGGAAACACCACGGGACAGGGGAGCCTTCTCCCATGTGCCCCCCACCAGGATCAGGGAGGGCTCAGGGCACTCCAGGGCTCTACAGAGCTCTGCCTGGGACCACGAGAGAGGGCGAGCTGTTTCCCAAGCTCGACCTTGAGCCTCGTTTACAGGCGGGCCACCTGTGCCTCTCAGAAGCTGACATGGAGACAGGTGGCTGGCTTACCCAGCTTCACAACTCTCCAGCGTCCCCCCTGCCCTTCTCTCTCCCCAGCTGTGAGTGTGCAGGTGTGGCCCAAGGCCATCGTGCAGGAAGGGCAGCTGGTGAACCTGACCTGTCTTGTGTGGACCACCAACCAGACCCAGCTCACCTACATATGGTACCAGGATGGGCAGAAGCGCCCAGGGGCCCACTCCATCCTTCTGCCCAATGTCACAGTCACGGATGCTGCCTCCTACCGCTGTGGGGTGCTGACGCCTGACCGGGCACCCCGCCTCTCCAGACCTGTCATTCTGGATGTCCTCTGTGAGTCTGGTTGGATGCAGGGTGGGGCAACAAGGGATCAGGGCATGGCCAGAGTCCCACAGATGTCCAACCCAGAAACAGTCCCCGTCTGTCCGATGAAGCTCAGAACAAGGAACACTGAGATGAGGGTGAGAGGAGATAGGTTCTCTCTTGGCAGTGGAGCAGGGGCCATAGATTGGGTAATCGGGGGCCCTTGGGGTAGGGAGCCAGGGCCCTCCTGGTTTTGAATGCCACCCGCCAACTAGCCTCCCGGCTGCAGTCCTCTGAACTGTTTCCTTTGGTGTCCCTGTAGACGCACCCCGCAGCCTGCGCCTGACCTACCTCCTCGAGGGCCGTGGTGGACGGCTGGCCCTGGTACTGTGCACTGTGGACAGCCACCCAGCCGCCCAGCTGGCCCTCAGGCACGCTGGCCGTCTCCTGGCCTCCTCGACCACAGCCTCTGTCCCCAACACCCTGCGTCTGGAGCTGTGGGAGCCCCGGCCCAGCGATGAGGGTCTCTACAGTTGCTCTGCCCACAGTCCTCTGGGCCAGGCCAATGCATCCCTGGAACTGCGGCTAGAAGGTGAGGCAGGGCATGCCAAGCCCACCAGGGGAGGGACCAGCTGTGGGATCCGGCTGGGCCTAGCTAACCCCGCTCTCCTCGGTACAGGTGTGCGGGTGACCCTGTCTCCATCAGCTGCTGTGCCCGAGGGGGCCCCCGTCACGGTGACCTGTAAAGACCCTGCTGCCCACCCACCCACTCTCTATGCCTGGTACCACAACAGCCGTTGGCTGCAGGAGGGCCCAGCTGCCTCTCTCTCGATCCCAGCAGCTACACGGGCTCATGCGGGTGCCTACACCTGCCAGGTCCAGGATGCCCAGGGCACACGCAGCTCCCGGCCCACAGCCCTGCAAGTCCACTGTGAGCAGGGGTCCTTGGCTGGGGGTGCCGAGGATGAGGGCGGGTGGAGGGCACTTCTGGGCCTTCGTAGGGGTGGACACAGGACTGCAGTGGACCTTGGAATGGGCACTTGGGAAAAGAAGGACATAGGTGGTGAGAAAAGAGACCCTAGGGTCCTGTGAACCCTGCCTGGAGGAGTCTGTCCACAAGACTCCTGAGAACTTGTCACTTCTAGGAAGTGACCATTTGTCCAGAGGCTTCAGCCTCACCAGTGCCAGGCAGGTAGGCCATGGTTCAGGGTTTCTTAACAAGGCCTCCAACTATGTCTTATCCTGCCACCAGATGCCCCTCGGGATGTTGTCCTGTCGTCGTTTCGGGACTCGAGGGCGAGCCCCATGACCGTGGTACAGTGCACCGTGGACAGCGAGCCACCTGCTGAGCTGGCCCTGTCCCGTGATGGCAAAGTTCTGGCCACCAGCCATGGGGTTGACGGGTTGGCATCGGGGACAGGCCATATCCAGGTGGCCCGCAATGCCCTGCGGCTGCAGGTGCAAGAGGTACCCTCAGGTGACAAGGACACCTATGTGTGCACAGCCCACAACTTCCTGGGTTCAGTCAACACCACAGGGCAGCTGCAGGCAGAAGGTGAGTGGGAGAAGGGGGAGGGGAAGGGGCGCAGGCGCAGCGGGGCTCTGTGTCTGTGAGGGCTGGAGCTCCTGCAAGAGGGGGCAGGCCGACCAGAATGGCTGGATCTAGCCGTGCCCCATCTGATGGAAGAGAAACAGCTCTCCTGGAGGCAGGTGCCCAGTCTGAAGGGGAGAGACAGCCTTGCCCTTGGAGAGCCCCCTACGAGGGTGGAGCTGTAGCTGTGCCAAGGGGACCTTGGATGCGGGCAAGGCATAACCCCACCGTCACAGAACCCAACTTGGGGTGGGGGCACAGGCCTGCCCTGGGGAAGCTGGGGTGGGAAGAGAGACACAAGCTCTACCTTCAAGGATGAGGTGGAGCCCTACCTTTGGGGAGTCCAATCTGAGAGCAGAACACAACCTCATCCATCGGAAAGTCTGGTTTGTTAAGAGAGACACGCAGCCCTGTCCTGGAGGTCCCCAGTGCGAGGATAAGAGACAGCCTTGTTCTCAGAGATCTCAGTCTTATGGGAGAGACACGGTCTCACCTTTGAGAGCCCCAAATCAGAACGGCCCTTCCCATAATGCACAGAAGGCTCTCAGATGCCCAGATCCTACCCAGAGGCTCCAGCTCCCACAGGCCTGCTGATCCCTGACGACCTCCTGGTCCTTGGCCCCCAGGTGCACGTGTGGTGGCCGAGCCAGGGCTGGACGTGCCTGAGGGTGCACCGCTGAACCTGAGCTGTCGCCTCCCTGGTGGTCCTGGGCCCACAGGCAACTCCACCTTCGCTTGGTTCTGGAATGGCCAGCGACTGCACGTGGAGCCTGGACCCACCCTTGCCTTCACCCATGTGGCCCGTGCCCAAGCTGGGGTGTACCTCTGCCGGGCCCAACACCCCAGTGGGACCACAACCTCTGCTCCAGTCATGCTCCGGGTGCTATGTGAGTATGACTCCCCTCACCCCCGCCCCCGCCACCTCAGTCTGTCCACACCTCACATGCCCACCTCAGGTCTTCCTTCTCTTCTGTCTGCAAAGAGCAAAGACCTTGCAGGTATGGAGTCCCGGGTGGGAGGACTCCGGCTCACTGATTGTGTGATCTTGGGTGCCCATGCCTTGGTTTCCTCATGCATGACGTATCAGTCCCCTCACCCCGCGAAGAGCATAGGAGATGCGGCACGCAGAGTGCCCGGCATACAATAGGCCCTCATCAGCCTTGGTCCCTTACTCCATTCCTCATGAAGGCGCCATGCTGTCAGTCCGATATGGCTGTACTAACAAGCCACTCCAAAACATAGAGCGTAAAATGACAGCCATTTTATTTGCTCACAGTTCCGTGGGTCAGAAATGGGGGCCGGGCTGAGCTGGGCAAGTCTCCCGCTGGCCTCACCTCATGTGGCTGCAGTTGTCCAGTGGCTGAGCTGAAGCTAGACAGCTTAGGATGGCTTCATCCTCATGGCCGGCAGGGGCTTCATCCAGGGGCTGGCTGCTGGCTGGGCCGCCACACGTTGTCCAGCATGCTGGCCCGGGCTTCCCACATGACTGTGTTCGCAGGAGGGCAGAAGCTGCGAGGCCCCTTGAGGTCTAGCCCTGAAGTCACATAAAGCCCCTTCTGCTTTCTAGTGGTCAAAGCAAGTCACAGATCAAGGAGTGGTGGTGGGTGGGGGGGGGGAGGGGGGGCGGCTCTACCTCTTAATGGGAAGAGCAGCAAAGTCATCTTGCCTGGGTACAGGGAGGGGAGGATTTGCGGCCATCATCACACTCCCTGTATTCCCATAGACCCTCCCACGATGCCCACCATGACGGTCTTTGTGGAGCCAGAGGGGGGCATCCAGGGCATCTTGGACTGCCGAGTGGACAGCGAGCCCCTAGCCAGCCTGAGCCTCCACCTTGGCAGTAGGCTGGTGGCCTCCAGCCAGGCCTGGGGTGCTCCTGCAGAGCCACACATCCGTGTCACGGCCACTGCCAATGTCTTGAGGGTGGACGTGGAGGAGCTGAGGCCCAGCGACCAGGGGGAATACGTGTGCTCTGCCTCCAATGCCCTGGGCTCTGCGTCTGCCTCCACCTACTTTGGAACCAGAGGTAGGTGGAGCGTCTGTCTCCCAGGCCCCTCTGCACAGAGGCCCAGCTCTCGGGTCCAAAGGCTTCCTTCTGAGGTCTTCCCTGAATCCCTTCTGCTGTAATCAGTTTGTCTGACTAGTCCAGACTGGTTGCCTGAAGCGCCTTTGCATGGAGGGGGCTTCTGAGATAAAGTGAAAGCTAGAATAGTTTTCATCTTTGGGGAGTCACCTTGGGAGGGAGGATTGGAGGCCTGGAGTCATAGGTGCCACCTCAGCCTCACCCTTGTGTTCCAGCTCTGCACCGCCTGAGTCTGTTCCAGAAGCTACTCTGGGTCCTGGGGCTGCTGGTGGGCCTCCTCTTCCTGTTGTTGGGCCTGGGGGCCTTCTACGCCTGGAGGTGGGTTCAGAGCTGGGGGTGATGGGGTCACCTCGTCCTCCCCTTGCCCCCCAACATTCCCTCGTGTCATTCCTACCAAATTCACAGGCTCCATACTCTCTAGCCTGTCTCTCTTTCTCCCACTGCTCCAAATTTGGGAATCACTTCTAGAATCCTCTTTATATCCATCTTGCTATGGTTTTCTTCTTTCTTTATCTGGACCCTGTCTATGTAAAGAAAGTGCTGGGAAGGAAGAAAGATAAGGCACCCCCCTTCCCCACAATGCTCCCACTGCTCTGTGCAGTGAGCAGTCTGGGGCTAAGCACTGGGGGTCGGGAGAGGGAGGGGAGGCAGGGGGAGGGGAGAGACCCTCTGAGTCCACTCTTGCGTTGCAGGAGGCATTTTCGTAAGGCGAGCGTGGGTGAGAATTTGGTTGAGATGGATTCTCAGAAGGAGACAGCACAGGTATCCATTCACCATGTGGGCACAAGCAGACACAATGCCTAACTAACCCACAGCGCAAGGTTGGCACCTAGAGACCGCAGTCATATACAGGATGGCCCCTGGGGCTAGGGAGAGAATATGGAGAACCCAGGGACCCCTGAGAAGATAGGGGAGCCACATTCTGACTGGGGCCCACAGCAGTCGCGGGTTTGCTCACTGGGCACTTCTTTGGGCATACCGTAGGCCAGCGTGACTGGTTCTCTATGGGACCTGCTGGCTGGGTGACTGGGGCAGACCTTCTGAACTTAGCAGCATCACCTCCACATCCAAGACACCTCTTGGAACACAGAACCCCACCTGTGTTTTGGGGTCTCTCTTTCCCACTCCTGAGTCTGCCGATCACCTGGGCATGGGTGAAAGTCTGTTTTCCCTTCCCTGTGATGTATCCCCTCTGTAGATAATCCATTTGGTGGGCCAGGGCTCATAGCCTCATGGCCAGCCAGGCACATGCTCACCAATCCCCTTGGGATCCCTACACATGGCTTGAGGTCTGGGGGACCGCCCACCAGAGTTAGAGGTCAGGTGATGACCGCTCCCAGAGTCCTCATGTGACCAGGGTTTTCTCTGAGGGAAGCTCAGTGGTCCTGATGCAGCCACATGTGGGACCTTGTCCTGTGCTCCACCCCTGAGCTGACCTGTAGCATTGCCTACCCTCAGGAGGAGGAGGTCACCAGAATCTGCAATGACTCAGGCTTCGTGAACAAGGTAGCACTGAGTCCTGCCTGCCTCTGTGAAAACAATTCTGCAACATCTGACTTTCTGTGACCTGGCTCCAAACCTCTTGCCAAGAAAAATGGGCAATGATAGGTGAAGGGGCACCCTAATCTACCCAAGAGGTGCTGACCCCCGACGACTCTGAGGAGAAACGGACCGGTCATGTTGTCAACTTCTCTGTTCCTTTTCCCTGGATCTCATCTTTCCTTTTCTCTTCCAATGGACTGCCCCTTACATATTTTCCCCCAATCCCACTGTGGACTTTTGGGATGGATTAGAAAAGAAATGAATCTTTCTACATCCTCACAGACTGGCCTAGGCACTCTGTATTGGCTAGAATAGAAGTTAGGCTGCTGTAATAAGAGACCAAATACAGTAACTTCAACATGAGGGAACTTTCTTTTTCTTTCCCATACGAGTCTGGGTATGCTATGGTAGTTTAAGGTGTTGGAACTCTGGATCCGTCTATCTTATTTTTCTCCATCCCTAAAATGTTACCTTTGGTTGTGAGGTTCACGGTGGCCCCACTCTGTTCACACACAAGAAGGAGAAAAAGTGGACGTTGCAGGCACATACCTTCCCATTGTGGACACAGCCCAGAAGTTGCTTGTCACTTCCACTCACTTCCCATCAGCTAGAGTTTAGTCACATGGCTGCCCCAAGCTGCCAAGGATTCTGGGAAATACCGTTTTTATTCTATTTCCAAAGGACTCCCAACCATGGACTCATCCCTGAGACTTCTAACATTGGTGACAATGCCTCCAGCAGGCCTCGTTTTTAGTGTCCTTCTGCCCAAGGCCAGGATGTGTCCCTGGTCATTCTGTCCATGGGCTTCCCAGAGGAGTTAGTCCCTCTCACATATCAAGACTGAGGAAATCAAGAGGGTTTGGTGATCCCTAGGGAGAGGGCATGCAGGCAATCCGGTTGCCTGAGCAGGCATTTCATCAGGCCCCTGGAAGAGATGCCCCCATTCGTACCTCCAGGGAGAGTGGAGAGCACTCTCGATTCTACTCTAGGTGCATTCCTCCCCATGATCACATGAGATCACTCGCTCTTCTTGGAGGCTTGTGTGCCCAGGGCTCTCAGGTTGAATGAGGGTCACAAAGAAGGTATAAGTTGCTCCATGAAGTCAGTGCATGAGAGGAGCCAGTTCTTGGGTGGGCTATTGACTCCCCTCATAGCCTGGTGGCAGACGGTAAGAGGAGCAAAGACCTCCCCTGGAATTTGAGCTGAGAAACATGGAGAGTAGTGGGGAGTTGTCATCGGGCGCTAACAGGTTGGGGAAGAAACTGGAGGCCAGGTAAGCTCCATGTAGCCACAGCTGGAAGCTTCCTGGTCCCAGGTTCTAGTCCTTGTAATGCATGATTGCGAGACTCTTCCTGGGGGGCCTGTCTGGCATGTCCTCCCAATAAACATCCATCCTGTGACATAACTGAAGGGTCTCTTTCTCGCAACCCAAACTGCTGCACTGGAACACAAGATCCAAATGTGAATCTCTTTCTGGGAGACTGTCTGACCGAGGGGGCCGGCAAGTGCAAATTACATGACATTTACCACAGGCTACCTTACCCTCAAGCGCTTTGCGCCCTTTCCTGCTCCTTGAGGCTCTGGGCGCTGCTCAAGCGTCCACGTGCATCCAGATGCCCAGCACCTCACTTGGCGTGCAGTAGGTGAACACTTAGTAAGCACTGGTTTTTCTACACTGTTGCCAAGTGAGAGGGTGGAAAATGTGCACTAAATCCAGAGGTGGGACAGAGGGAGAGCAAACCAAATGCAGCCGGATGTTTTTGGGCTGTCTGGGGAAGAGAGGGTAAGGGGAGGACTGCTTCTGTGCATCTCCAAGGGGATAGGTCCGTCTGGGATTGGAAGGTCCCCAGAGGGGTTAGTTGTCCACCCCCAGAGGTCTGAGGCACCTCAAGACTTTAAAAATAAACTTCTAATTCAAGTGTGACCCACATACAGAAAACTGTAAACTTAATGACTTTTCCAAAAAGGTACACACACATGTAAACAGCACCCAGAGCAAGAAACAGACCATTGCCAGCTCCCCAGAGTCTCCCTTCAGCCCCCTCCCAGGGGCAATCAACCCGAAGGTAGCTACTGTCCTGATATCTAACACCATAGATTTGATTGGCCTGTTTTCGAACTTTATATAAATGGAGTCCTATAGAATATATGACGACTTCAGAAAACTGTCTGACATTATCTATGACAGCTAAAATATTCTTCCCTATGACCCTGAAATTCCATCCCTGGGCATTTATGCAAAAGGACTAAGGGTTTACATCCACTGTGAGACTTGTACGAGAATGTTTATGGTCACCCTGTTCTGGGTCACTCTTCAGAATGAGTCTTGTTTACAGACGGTGTGTGTGACCCATTACGTGAGCACTCACAAAGATTTAACTCTTACTGGTTCGCCTCCTTCCCAGGGTACTCCCCAATGGCCCTGTGGAGAGTGACTCTGGCAAGTCCCTTGGGAAATCATCTTTCCCACAGTCGCACTTCTAGGATCCCTCTTCCTCCACTTTGGTTCAATGGTCCCACCCCCTCCTCTGCGACCTCAAATATAAATAGTGCTCTGAGATTTCAACAGAAAATTCCTCGGATATACTTGGACATAGCTCATCTGGGTTTGGGAGGCATCCACTTTGCAAGGATGACTCCAATCCCCACATGGCTCTTAGGCTACATGCCCACCTTGTTTTATTAGCACTGACTGTGTGCCTTGGCCTGTGCCAAGCACTAAATAAAGACATAGTCCCAGACCCCATGGAGCTCAGGGTCTGGGGGAGACAGACAAGGAAATGGACAACCACACTGATGTGTGATATATGATGCAGGGAGAAGTATATGCAGGGGACAGCAACCCAGGCTTTGGGTCAGGAAGAACCCCTTGACAAGGAGGCACCAAAGCCTAGGTCTGTAGTGGGAATAGAAGCTCACCAGTTCACTGGTTTCTTGCCAGAGAGGAGAGGATCTTGCCTTCTCTCCCTGATGTCCACATTGAAGTCTCCCATCCATGTTCAGAGTGTGGCTACTCTGGGAGTCTGCTCTGCAATCCTGGCCCCCAGCTCATTTAGGGCTCAAGCCACCTCTAAGCCCTGCCAGGCCCTGCCAGGCTGCACACTTGGCGTTGTCCTGTCTCTGTGATCTCTGGGGCTTTCTTAGTTGCCTCTTTCTTCTTCCTCCTCAGGACCCCTTTACCAGGGTTAAGACTGTATCTCCACAATTTCCCCTTTCTCAGGATCTACATTTGTTTTGGAATCTCTAGGTGTGCTCCTGGTTCGAGATGGAAGCCTAGGTCCCTCTGTCCACCCCGATTCTTCCCCAAATCCTCCCTAAGAGAAGCGATAGCAAAAACGGGCCCAGGGTATGACAGGATGCCTTGCTTTCTGCCCCCCTGGCTCATCTAACAGGAGGATCAGGGAGTTCTGTGCTGCAAGGCGGGGGGGGGGGGGGGCTGTCGCTGTCAGCACCCGTGGTGACCCTATTTCATCACCCACAGAGGGAGGGCTTGATGCCTCTCCAGCCTGTCCACACTAGAGCTTCCAGTGTGACCAAAGCCATCTAAGTCTATATTAGGTCTGGTTCCCCAAAATGAGGTTTCAGAGGCAAGCGAAGTAAGGCTGTGCTCCGAGGGGAAACTAGTAAAGGGATGAAGGCAGGAAGCTAAAGATACATGCACATAAATGTCCACAGCAGCATTTTTGGTAACATCTCAAAACTAGGAACCACCCTAACTAATGTCCAGCAACAGTAGAATCAATGGGGAAAACAGATGTTACATTCACACAATTGGATGCTATTTATCAATGGAAATAGCTGAACTAAAGCCACACACGACAGGCTGAGTACATTTCACAAACTGAAAAATATTTGCGACTCATATTCCAGAGAAAAGATTAATACCTCTTATATATAAAGAGTTCCTTCAAGTTGTTAAGAGAAAGACCAACAGCTCAATACAAACATGAGCCGAGGATGTGAACAGGCAATTCAGGGTATAGGAACTACAAATGACTCTTAAATGTTTGAACAATTATTTGAGGTCACTGCTAAGAGAAATGCAAATTAAGACTGCACTTTCGAGGCACCTGGGTGTCTCAGTTGGTTAGGCATCTGACTCTTGATTTCAGCTCAGGTCATGATCTCACAGTTCGTGAGTTCGAGCCCTGCATCAGCTCTGCACTGTCAGCGTGGAGCCTGCTTGGAATTCTCCCTCTCTCCCTCTGCCACTCCCCCGCTTGTGCACACACACACACTCTCTCTCTCTCTCTCTCAAAAATAAATAAACAAACAAACAAACAAATAAATAATAAAAAAGATTCTCTTTTTCTAAAAAAAAATAAGAGAGAGAGAGAGAGACTGCACTTTCACCTTCAGACAGGCAAATATCACAGTCTGAGAACGGTGTTGGTAAGGCTGTGGGCAAAGGAACACTCTAGATATTGCTGGTGCAACCGTAAAGTGGCCCAAGGAATCCCACTTGTAGGAAATCATCTCACAAATTAGTGTGTATATAACATTATCCATCACAGCATGGTTCATAACAGCAGAAGGGCTGGAAACCATTTGTATGCTCAAGAGGGGACTATACAAGTAAGTGGTAACGTTCAACTACAAAAATGAGGACTCCGCACACCCACTGGAATAGCTAAAATTCAAAAGATTGACAACACTAAATGCTGGTGTGGCTGTAGGGGCACTGAAACTCTCATACACTGCTGGTGGGGATGCAAAATGGTACAGTCACTTTAGGAAATCGGTTTTTTTTGTTTTTTGTTTTTTGTTTTTTTAACTTAAATATGCCCTTGCCATATGACCCTGCATTTCTACTTCTGGGTCATCACAGATGAGAAATGAGAAATGAAAACATATGTCCACACAAAGACTTCACAGCGATTTTGTAGCAGCTGTGTTTAGAAGAGTCTCGCACTGGAGCAGGAGAACCCACATGCCTAACTGGAGAACACGGAGCCACCGCGCTCCCCTCCACCGTGGAACACACTTGGCACCTACCAAAGAACAAATTACTGATCACGAAGCAATGTAAACGAATCTCAAAAACATAGAGGGAAGTAAGCCAGACACAGAAGAGCACATGCTTTAGAATAACATTTATATGACGTTCTGGAAGAGGCGAAACTAATCTGTAGGCTCAAAGCCTATCCCTGGCTGCCTGGGGCTGGGAGAGGGAGAGAGTGACTGGGGAGAGGCACAGGGGAACTCTTGGGGGGAGGGGGGGCGATGGAAACTGAAGCTGGAACTCTTCCTAACCGAACCGCTGCATTTACTACTCCGAATTTACTACTCAGCACGCAAATCTTCAAAAGAAGAAACGGATGTTACCAAAGCCAAAAGGAGCCCCCACGTCTGGACCTCCGTGGCTTTGTGCAACTGTTCCCTCCGGCCACCACCAGGGACAAGGGCTGCCCCGGCCCTCAGCCGCGAGCCTGTCGGCCTCCTCGCCTTTGCGGGGGCATCAAGTCCCCGGGACTGAGGCTGGACCACCATCGCGCGCCGCGGGGACAGGGGCTGGCGGCCACCGCGATGCAGAGGCAGGCGAGCTCCGAGCCGGTCCAGCCGAGCTCCACACCTGCCAGTTGCGGTCGCCCGGCCTCCCTTCTCCTAGGGGCACTTCCGCGGGGTTCTGGCCAGGGCGCGTCTGGGCCGGACTGGTGGCCAGGCGGGGACAGAGAGGTCCGCCCCAGGAGACCCCAGAGGGGGGCGCTCGCTGCGCAGACCCGAGGGGCAACAGGTGGCCCCCAGCCCTGGTCTCTCTCCCCCCACCCCCAAAGGTCCTCAAAGGCCCTTCCGAGGGGCCCCGCCCCATCCCCACTCCACCCCGCTCCGCCCCCGCGAGGAGAGGGCGCAGAGACCTAACCCCGCTGGTTGGCGCGGGCAGGTCCCCCGTGGGGCCGCACGGATTCCGCCGGCCCTGCTCCCGCCCTTAGACGGCGGCTCCGGCTCCCCGAGGGCGCACGAGGTCCGGCCCGCTGCCAGGGTGCGGCGGATGGGCTTCGGGGCTCCGTGCGGGGTGGCGCGGGAGGGTCGGGAGGCGGCGCGCCGGCCGCTCTGGCCGTGGGTCGGCCCGGATCTAGCCGGGGCGGAGCCGGGAGCCGCAGCGTGGACACCGAGGCACTCACAGCTATGGGCCGGGGGTCTCTGAGAGCTCGAGGGTCGCAGGCGTCGCTGCTGCTGCTGCTGCTGCTACTGTGGCTACCTTTGCAGGTGTCGGGGACCGAGGCATTTCAAGGTGAGTGGGATGTGCCCCGCGGGGCAGGCCAAGTCACCGTCAGGGGATGGAGGGCCTGAACTGCCCTCCCCCCACCCACGGTGGCCGGGAGAACAGGGATCGCCCAGGCTTTGGCAGGGTCTCCGTAGGACCTGCCCAGGGACTGTCCGCCGTACTTGGGCTGGCTTGGAGTCCAGACTGACACACTGCCCAGCTGACACAGTGCCAATGGCAAAGCAGTTGTGGTGGTGGTTGAAGGGGGTGGGGGGCATCTCCTCTAAGCAGCTGCCCAAGTCCCCAGACCCCTCTTCTAGGGTTCTCTGCTCTGACCACCCCCAGACCCCACCCACCAGTGTGGACTTCTTCCTGCACCTCCATCCCTTAAGGGCCAGCCCACTGTTCCCCAGAGTCCCTGCTGTGCCCTCGGACTAGGGGGCCAGCTGTGGCCTCCACACTCAGGCTGGCCCCCATGCTCACCCCACACCCCAGGGCCTTGGGGCAGTGTGTGTGTGTGTGTGTGTGTGTGTGTGTGTGTGTGGTTGATATTGTCGCCTTGTTTGGTGAGATAACGAAGGGTGCTCCGGACAGGCTGGACCCTGGGAAGTAACCTCAGCAACCCCGGTGGGTAGGAGAATTGGCGGGGTCCTGGATGTGAAGTGCCCCGCCACCTGCCTGGGAGGACATCAGGGGGGAGGCAGGAAGGGCTGGGCTGGGCTGGGCTGGGTGGCCTGGGAGTGCTGGGCTCCAGAGCACTGTGGGGAGTACCTGTAGGGATGGGGTCCTCTTCTGTTCTGGGGCCAGGAGGGGGTGGGATGATAGCCCTTATGCCTTTGAGGATGGCTGCTCCCTCCTCCTCAGCATGGGGTCAGGAGAGGGTGATAGGACCCCTGGGAGGAGTGGAGAGGGGCTTCGTGCTCCCCGACACCACACTGGCTCCCCCGTTCAGCTCCCACCCTAATCCTCCTCACCACAGCTCTGTCTGCGCCTCCCTCTCCCTCCTCACAGAGGCACACCCTCCCCTCTCTACTGAGGAGGCTTAGGGACAGCAAGAAGTACTTTTCCACACCCAGTTAAGTCCTCTCTGGGCTGGGAGACACCCCTTCCCCACCCTGCTTACCCCTCCTCCCAGAAGCACTCATATCCCTCCCCACCCCCCTCCCCGCCGCCCCGCCCTGCCCAACCGTGCCAGCCCACTCATCCAATCAGGGAGGGCTTCCTGGGGGAAGGGGATTCCTAGAACTGCTGCTATTCCAGGTCTTTGATGCTGGGGTCTGGGGGAGAAGATGGAGGAGGAGAAAGGACTTGGGGTGGCCTGGCAAGAGCTGAGCCACTTCCACAGTCTGCCATCTCAGCGTGGGGTTGGGGCAGGCTGGGTGCTGGGGAACCGTCAGTCCTGGGAGCTGGGCTTGCCTCCCCAGGGATTGTGTCAGAGGGCAGGGAGGGCTGCCTACAGGCTCTGGGCTGCCTGGGGCCTGGCTCTGCTGGGCAGCTGGGCGGGGGTAGTGAGGGTTGCTGGAACCCACTGTGGGGTGGGGGGCTGGGAGCATTCCAGGGGAGCATTCCAGAGCCTTCTGAGTAATGCTTGGCTCTGGTATTCCTCCAGGGCCCCCTTAAAGCGCACCCGGCCTGGGAGCACTCAGGCTCTTTCCCCCCCCCCCCCCCCCCGGGGCCTCCCCACCTCCAAGATCCAAGAAAGGGGCTTCCAAGCTAGGGTCGCTGGAAGTCCTGCTTCCAGCATGAAGCCCCCAAGGGAGCTGTCTGGGCAAGGTGGGCCGCCCAAGACATCTGGCTGTTGTTTTTCTCAGATGGTGGAGGAGACACAGGCACCCTCTCTTCACAGATCTCTCACTCCAAAGGCATCTGCTGCCCAGGCTAAAAATACCCGAGGCTGCCTCCCTCTTCCTTCTCCTCTGCACTGGGGGCTTGGCCTCTTCCTTGTGATCTCTGACCCCCAAGCCTCCCCCAGGTCAGTGGGGCCTCTGGCTTCCCCAGCTGAGCTATCCTTCCCAGGCTCCTCTGTCTCTGTTCTGCCACCTCCCTGGTGGCTCCTCAGTTCCAAGGATGCCCGAGGAGCGGCCACCCTCCTCCAGGCTACACCTCTGAATAATGAAGGTGGAGTCTCCTGTTCCTCTTTGCTGATGTCCTATCACCTCATCCCTCTGTCGTCCCCTACTCCTCTATGTTCCTCAGATTTCCCCCTCAGCTTTTACTCTGTCTTCACCCCAGGAGGCAACCCTGGAGAGCCAGTCACCCTGCACTGGGTCCTGGATGGACGACCCCAGCGCACGGTCACCCTGGACGAGCCGGTCAGTGCCAGGTCGTCCTTCCCTTTGCGGGGGGCCCGGGGTCTCCCAGCCCCTTTCCCCGTCTTCAAAGTTTAGCGTAGCAGTTTGGCTGGGGTCTTTTAGGCCCCTTTCCGGAGGCTTGGCAGGTGGGGGTGGGGAGACACATGAGATCACAAGAGCCTGCACGCATGGAAGTCATTTTCAGGCTTCCTGCCCCACCGTCCGCTTCTCCCTTCCCCCCAGAATTATCCAGGGGAATTATCCTCCCCACCAGGCAGAGATAGGGCCAGAATTTGTGAGCCCTGAAACTTTTCAGGGACCTCTTTATGCAAACACCAAAATATCTTCCTTTTGCAAAGTTTACCAGAACGTGTTACCCTGTGGACACATTGCTGTCTCCTCCAGTAACACTTCAGCCTCCCTGGCTCGTGCAGAATCCACTTCTGACCAGGGGGCACTGGTCACCCTCCTAGGGCAGGCCCGCCTGATTTTGCTTCTCCAGGATGCTCTGCCCCACTTGCTGCCAACACCCACCCATCACACACTTCAGAATAACCATGCTCCCGTCTGTATGTGCCACACAGCTTTGCTACAAATCAGGAGGCCAGTGCCCTTAGTATCCCCATATCACAGAGGGGCAAACTGAAGCCCTGAGAGGTTGGAGGAAGTACCCAAGGTCACACAGCTCTTTAGCCCAGAAGCCCGAGATCCACTAAGGTCTGAAAGGCTTCTAACCATTGGCCAATGTCCCCCAATTTTAGAGAGCCCTCTTCATCCTGAATTTTCAGGTAAAAGGCGACAAACTACTGTCCAAGCCAGCAAGGAAGGCAGTAGAGCACTGTCATGAAGGCTGGAAGGCCCCCATAGGCCCAGGAGCTTTTAACCTAGGGCCTTACTGGGTCCCCCAGACCCTCAGGGGCCCCCATTCAAGCATGGTGCTGACCCGGGCTTTGAGCCGGGGCATCACTGGCAGAGGGCAAGGCTGGGCACATGCTGGGCACCTCCCTCCCAGTCCAGCCTAGGCTGTGACAAGGAAGGGCATCTCAGAGGGCCTTGCTTTCCCCTGCCTCCCCCCCCCCCCCCGCCCCCCCCCCCCCACCACCGGGAAGCCTGCCAAGCTGAGGCCAGCAGACAGAGATGAGGCAGGGAATCCTGTCCAAGAGGCAGGAAATACCCACATTTCAGGTTAGGGATGGGGTGTGTAGTGAGGAGCAGGGTCACCAGGAGGGCAAGAAGCAAGGAAAAACAGCAGGACAGAGAGAAGGGAGCCCAGGGTGGGGGTGAGGTAGGAGGAGGCTTTCCATTTGGGGGTGCTGCCTGCGCTGGGTACAAACCTTTCTCCAATAAAGTAAGTGACATTCCAGCCATGTGAGCTCATGCTTGGGGCCTTGGGGTGGGGGGCTCTTGGCTGGGGTTGCGGGGTTGTCTGCCTCCCACCTGCAGAGAAAGGGCCCCCACAAGAATCTGAGCCCCTTGGCCCGGGGCCCAGCCCAGTGCATGGTGCAGGGAAGGGTGAAGGCCAGCATTCCAAAGACACAGCAGCTCTCCAGGATGCTCCTGGGCTGGTTCCAACTCTGGGCCCCCAGCCAGGCAGAGTGGACAAGGTAGGGGGGCCGGCAGATGGGGTATTTCCACAGGGTGGGAGAGGCAAACAGGCTAGCGAGAAGGAGAGGCTGTGGGCTGGCCCAGGCCAGCCTCCTGTGACATCTAGCTGAGATGTTTTTTCTCTTGGCCTGAGGTAGGGGGTCAGGGTTTACTTTATGGTCTCAGCAAAGCAGGTGTGGGGCAGGCCTTCGGAAGGCTAGGGGAATTTTCAGTTTGTCAGAATTGAAGGAGGAGGGAGTAAAGCCTGAATTCTGCAGGGAGTGGGGAGCAGCAAGAAACGAGGCTGTAAGGAGGCCTGAGCCTGGCTACCTAATGCTCCCCCAGCCAATGTCTTCAGGACCCCATTGTCCTCTCCACTTCGAGGAAGCCTTCCCGCTGTGACAAAGGAGGGAGGGCCAGAGGAAGAGTCCAGTAGCCTTGGGCAAGTCAGGGTACCTTCCTGGGACCCCTCGTTTCATTCCTCTGGAGGATGAGGTGTGCCCTTAGCAGGCTATGTCCAATGGCTGTTGTCAGAACCAAAACCGTCCCGAGTTTGGGAACATATTTGCCTGCATGTTCTCACCCCCACATCCATCCACACCTACCATGACCAGTGGGGAGCCTGCTGCCCCCGGCCCCCTGTGCTCTCCTTCGCCAGCCAGCTCCACATCCCACCTGCTCCCTCAGCCCTACTCTCCTTCTTGACCAGGTCTCGAAGCTAGACATGGGGCTGGTGGCCTTGGAGGCTGAAGGGCAGCAGCTCCTGCTCGAGCTGGAGAAGAACCAGTGAGTACCAGGCAGGGGAGGGGGCTGGGAGCCGAAAGTAGCTCCCGCTCTCTGGAGGGGATCAGTGCTGGGGGCAGGGATGGAGGGGAACCCCTAAGGCAGGCTGGATGGGGCGAGCGCTCCAGACGAAGAGGTACAGGAATTGTCCTGCCAGCCCATGACTGGCTCCCTCAAGGCTGAAGTAGACTGCTAAGCCTGGGTCAGCCCTGCTGTGGGGCACACCCTTCATTCCAGCCCCAGGATTATCTCGTCAGCTTCCTGCCAGAAATGAATGAGCATCACCTAGTGGGTGCTCACAGGGTGTGCTGAGTCCAAAGAGAATCCAAAATGGATTCCAAAGATGGGCAGGTGCTCGGGGCTGAGGTGAGGTGTGGCCTTTGTAGGTCAAGACTCCTTCAGGAGGCAGGGATTTGTCTGGCCTGCCTGGACGGTCTCCATCTACGGGGAATGGAGCAGTGGGAAATGAATTCGGGGAGTCCCAGTAAAGCCAGATCACAGAGGCCTTTTTTTTTTTTTTTTTTAATTAGAGTGAGAGTGAGAGCGAGAGCGCGCGCGTGTGTGCAAGAGAGAGAGAGAGAGAGAGCAGGGAAGAGGGGCAGAGGGAGCGGGAGGGAGAGAATCTCAAGCAAGCTCCATGCTCAGTGTGGAGCCCATTGTGGGGCTGGATCCCACGACCCTGGGATCACAACCTGAGCTGAAATCAAGACTCAGAAGCTCAACCAACTGAGCCCCGCAGGCGGCCCCACAGAGGCCATTGTAAGGCTGAGTGTCTTTGCAAAGCCAAAGATTCTGAGCTGGTGAATGAGTAGACAGTGTGGGGCTGGGTGGGGTGGGTGTCCATGATGGAGTGTGGGGTCTGGAAACCATCCAGATGGAATTATCAACAGCCATCGTTTGTCGAGGGCTCGCTTCATTGAAGACACTGTTCCAAGCACTCTACACATGTTGGCTTCTCCCCCATGGAGCCAGATGGACCAGGAACAGTATCTAGTTCCACCACACAGAACCATAGTTACTCTGAGGTTCAGTGTCCCCACACATGAGAGGGGGTGACCACAGCACCTGCTCTTTGGGTTGAGTCTGTGCGTGGAGTGGGGGGGGGGGCAAAGCTGGAGAAGGTGGAGGAAAGACTAGGAGGTAGAGAAGCAGGCACCACAGGTCTTTGGAGTGGTCTGGCAGTAAAGAGGTCAAGGCGAGGTGGGGATGGAGAATTTTCTTTACAGAAGAGACATTAGCTCACAGTTGATCCACCTTGGTGGGAAGGACCCCGGAAAGATGGAGAAGGAAGGTGAGATCGTTAATGGAGTGGGGTCTGAAGAAGATGGGGATGGGGCTCCCTGCTCAGGTGGGCAGGCAGGAGCAGCTGTGGACACGTGGGGATTCTCTTTTCTCTGGAAGCATGGGGTGAGCATCACTGAAGGACAGCTGGGGAGAAACGTGGGGTCTGGGGGCCAGAGAACAGAGGCCTGACAAGGCTGGGCATCGGGCAGGGCCACCCAGGGAGTTTACTGCCCTTCCTTGGCTCCAGGCCCCACCTCCTCCTCAATGTCTCCTGAATCCTCCCTCCCCAAACCTGTGGAAGGAGCTGCCCACCATAGACTCCACAGGGACCACAAACTGTTTCTCCATTCCTGCTCCTCCCTGCTGCTTCCCACACACCCACTTCCCACACCTCAGCCCTCACCAAGGCTCCTTCCTGCACCCCCCCCCCCCAACCTTTCTTCCTCCAGCCCAAGGTTTTTCTGAGCTGAGCAGCACACAGTCGCTCCTGTCCCTTCCCTCAGATACATTTGGGTGCTTCTCCAGGGCTAGCCCTATGCCTCACTCATGGAGCTGCTCAATTAGCATTCAGGGAGGAAGGCTGGAGGGCATCCTGGAGGAGGCCTGGCTGAATTAGGTGACCCTTATAACACCCCCTCCCAGCAGGCTGCTGGCCCCGGGATACACAGAAACCCACTATACCCCAGATGGGCAGCCAGTGGTGCTGGTCCCCGACCACACGGTGAGATACTTCCATGGGCTCTGAGGACAGGGTAAGGGATGCTGGGGGGGTGCACTCCCTGAGGACCTCTCCACCATTCCTTTCCCATTCGCCTCCTCTTTTTAAAGAGAGGCTGGAGCCAGCCCCCCCTCCCACCAGCCCCTCCCAGTTCAGCACTGGCTGAGATTTGGGGCTGGGTCCCTTGCTCTCCAGGACCACTGCCATTACCATGGACGTGTGAGGGGCTTCCCTGACTCCTGGGTAGTCTTCAGCACCTGCTCTGGGATGAGGTGAGGAGTTCTGGGGGAGGGGGCTGGGCCTAGGACTGGAGAAAGAGTCCCCTCACACCCCCCTCTGCACTCTTCCGAACTCTAGGGGCCTGATCACACTGGGCAGCAATGCCAGTTATTATGTGCATCCACAGTCAGCTGGAGACTCCGAGGACTTCATCACTTACAAGATGTTCCCAACCAGGCAGCTGCTCAGCTGGAAAGGGGCCTGCGGCCACAGGGATGCCGGGAGCAAAGGGGACATGGCCAGCCTTTCTCGTGCCACTCAGATCAAGGTCAGGGGCACAGATAGGGGTGGGAGTGGAAATGGAGTATCCATAGCCCTGAAAATCGGAAAAGACAGGAATACACAGCCCCAGTTCAGGGCCTCCTGTCCTGATATTTTTATTTGGAGGCTGAAGAAACAAGTTCCAGCAATTTTTAAAGTTAACTTTGTGCTTCCTGGGAATTGGAGTTGGCAGCCTGCCACTCAGGGTCACCATTGCCTCATCCCAGGAGAGGAGGGAGGTCCGCAGGAGCCCGAGGTTCTTGGAGCTGTACATAGTGGCTGACCACACACTGGTGAGCAGAGGCCCCAGGGGAGTGGTGAGGTGGGATGGGGCCAGCTCAGCCTGCCAGGAACTCTTCTGTATGTCTTTCCAGTTCTTGACCCAGCACAGGAACTTGAACCACACCAAACAGCGACTCCTGGAGGTGGCCAACTACGTAGACCAGGTTGGGGTTGGTGGGAAGAGAGTCCTAATGGGGGTGACTGCGACATGGGCTGGCAAGTCCTGGCAGGAGGTGGCAGGGTTGGAGATGAGCACAGACTATGGAGCCGAGAGGAGAGGGCGCCCCTGGGGAAGAGCACAGGCACTGTGGCACATCTTGTCCCCCAGCTCAGCCTGGTCCCGTCCACAGATTCTCAGGACTCTGGATATTCAGGTGGCACTGACTGGCCTGGAAGTGTGGACAGAGCAAGACCGGAGCCATATCACGTCAGACGCCAATGCGACGCTCTGGGCCTTCCTGCAGTGGCGCCGAGGGCTGTGGGCACGGTGGCCACACGACTCCACGCAGCTGCTCACGTGGGTCCCCTCCTACGCCCAAGTGGGTCCCCGTCTGGGCAGCCCAGAATCCTGGCCCCACCGGGTCACGCTGCGTTCTGCCTTCAGGGGCCGCGCCTTCCAGGGCGCCACTGTGGGCCTGGCGCCCATCGAGGGCATGTGTCGCGCTGAGAGTTCAGGAGGCGTGAGCACGGTGAGCTCCACCCGGGACAGGAGGGGGCGGAGAGGGACAGGGTAGGAGGCATCCCCGCAGCCCCCAGTGACGCAGTGACCGTCCCTACGCCCTCCCAGGATCACTCAGAGCTTCCCATTGGCGCAGCAGCCACCATGGCCCACGAGATAGGTCACAGCCTTGGCCTCAGCCACGACCCTGACGGCTGCTGCGTGGAGGCGGCGGCTGAGCAAGGCGGCTGCGTCATGGCCGCGGCCACCGGGTACAGACGCCGAGGTCGGGGGCGGGGGGGCGGCAGGAGTTCCGGGGGAGGCTCCGCTAGACCAGGGGACCTTCCTCAGCTGCCTTTCTTTGGGAGAAATGGTTATCCCTCGATTTCCTCTTCCGTAAAATAGAGATAGTGGTCATAGCACCCACCCCGAGACTTCTTTATGAGGCTTAAAGGGAGGAAACGCAGAAGTGGATTCTCAAAAGTACAGAGCTTTTCAGAACATCCTAGCAAGGATTCTCCAACCCTGGGAGTAACGGCGCTAGGTCGCGATTTGACCTTGAGTGCCGGGCTGCCTGGTCCTGGCGTGACACCCTCCCGTCTCGGGCTCGCCGTGTGACTATGTACAGTTTACTTGCCCTCTTTGGCCTCCGCGTGTGGAGGATGCCGGCTGCCTGCTGATTAGGCGGTTTCTGCGCATCCAGGGGCTGTGTGGCCAAGCACAGGGAGTAGTGGCCGGAGGGGGTCGCAGACGAGCAGGGGATTGAGGGGGGCGGTCCCCGCACGCCCGACGTCCTTCCCCCTCCTGTAGGCACCCGTTCCCACGCGTATTCAGCCCCTGCAGCCGGCGCCAGCTGCGCGCCTTCTTCCGCAAGGGGGGCGGTGCGTGTCTTTCCAACGCGCCGGACTCCAGGGTCCTCGTGCCTCGGGCGCGCTGCGGGAACGGCCTCGTGGAGGACGGCGAGGAGTGTGACTGCGGCCCCAGCCAGGTCAGGTCCGCGCTCCCGGTCCCCGGGGGCCGAGGCTGGCGCCCCGCTCGCCCCCTCCCCCGGGGTCTGGGTCGCTGCGCCCTCATCTGGTCCTACACCCTCTCTCCGGCTCCAGGAGTGCCCGGACGCCTGCTGCCTCGCCCACAACTGCTCGCTGCGTGCAGGAGCCCAGTGCACACGCGGGGACTGCTGCGCGCGCTGCCTGGTGAGGGCGTGGGGGGGGGGGGGGCTCGGGGTGAGGGTTAGGGGGCGCTCGGGAGCCGGCTGTTGGTCTTGGCTGATTGGCGCCCTCTGGTGCCCCTGCTGGTGCTGGCTCTGCTCTGCGCGCGGGCCCGCCTGGCCTCACCTGGCCCTCCAGCCTCTGAGCCGCTGTATCGGCGTGGATCTCTCAATGTCCATTGTCTCGCTGTCCCTCGGCCGCCCTCCCTCCACCCGGTCCCCTGCGTAGCTGAAGCCGGCTGGCGTGCTGTGCCGCCGAGCTGCTAGCGACTGTGACCTCCCAGAGTTCTGCACGGGCACCTCCCCCTACTGCCCCCCGGACACTTTCCTACTAGACGGCTCTTCCTGCGCCAGCGGCCGGGGCTACTGCCGGGATGGCGCGTGTCCTACACTGGAGCAGCAGTGCCAGCAGCTCTGGGGGCCTGGTGAGACTACCCGAGTACCGCTGGCCCCATCCTCGGGAATGCACCGTTTTCTACGCAGGGGAAGAAAGGGGGGGTGGGGGTGGGGGTGGGGACTGAAGCCAGTGCGGTCCGCCCATGCTTCCTTAGGCTCCAGCCCAGCCCCGGAGGCCTGTTTCCAGACTGTGAACTCAGCAGGAGACGCCCATGGAAACTGTGGCCAGGACCGCAAGGGTGGCTTCGTGCCTTGTGCGCAGAGGTGGGGAGTGGGGCGGAGTTAGGGGGAGCGGGGTGGTGCACTGGGGCAAGAGGGACGCTCTGGACATGCGGTCACCCTCCACTTTCGTCCCCAGGGATGCACAGTGTGGGAAGCTGCAGTGCCTGGGTGGGGAGCAGCGCCCACTGGCACCACACACGGTACCGGTGGACTCCACGGTTGGACTAGGCAGCAGCGAGGTGACCTGCAGGGGAGTCTTCCTGCTGCCTGGTGTCCAGCTAGACCTGCATGACGTGGGCCTGGTAGAGCCAGGCACCCAGTGTGGCCCTAGAATGGTGAGCCCTGTGAGCCCTGCACACCAAACCCTTCCCTAATGCTTGAGTCCTGTAGGCCGAAACGTCACTCCCCCTCACTGCCTGGTGCACACACCACCCATAGGTGTGCCAGGACGGGAGCTGCCAAAACACTACCTTCTGGGAGCTGGAGCGATGCCTGACAGCCTGCCATGGCCATGGAGTGAGTGGCCGGAAAGGTGATGAGGGGGTGGCCTTGGACTTCCTGATCCCACGGGGCCTTCCTTCTCTCTTCCCCTCTGTAGGTTTGCAACAGTAACCATAACTGCCACTGTGCTCCGGGCTGGGCTCCGCCGTCCTGCAACAAGCCAGGGTTTGGTGGCAGTGTGGACAGCGGTCCTATACGGCCTGAAAGTGTGTCCAGGGAGGGAGGGGGTGTGGGGAGGGGCTGAGGCGGGGCACATGCTGAGGACGCAGCCTTACCCTGTTGTCCACAGACCACAAGGCATTCCTGCTGGTGGTGATCCTTAGCTTTCTGCTGCCTCTGCTCCCCGGGGCCAGTCTGGCCTGGTGCTGCTACCGACAGCCGGGATCCCGTCTCCAGCAATGCCTCTGCGGCTCGAGGAGGGGTCCTGCATGCACTGGGTAGGCTCCGAGCCCACTCCTGTGGTTGCTGCTCTGCAGAACTCTGCTGGACCTGGGAGAGCTGGGGTGGGGTCCTCAGACCTTCCCCCCAGGAGCAGAGGGATGGGCAGAAGCAAGTGGGAAGAAGCCCTGAGCAGGAGGCCACAATGGCCTCTGTTGGAGCCGATGATGTGGACCCCTGTGAGGCCCTCTTCCCCTCCCGGTTAATGTGGTTCAGCCCCCCCCCCCCCCCCGGGGGGGGGGTTCGCCCACCAGGGGGCTGCCTCATCCTAGACTGCCATTGTTCTGCCAGCTAAGAATGCATTTCTTGCTCCGCTGTGCCCTTCCAGACTTTCCTAGCCTCTCATGAGTTGTCAGCCCCCTTTCCCACTTCCTCTGCCTAAATCTTTTCTGTACACCTTTAAAGTCCCCAGATGCTGGACCCAGCACACCCTTTTTATGCCTTACTGCTGGTTAGTTATGGCACTGGCTGGCTGCCCTTGTGCCAAGGGCCTGTCCCTAACCCAGTTCTCCATGACCTGGGAGGAGAATCACATAATACCTAAGCATGGTTGACCTAGGGCTGGCCCCTTCAGTGGGGTGCTGGGCAAGGGAGGCACCCCATGGCACATCTGACACTCCCTGGACTTGGAAGTGCTCTGGGCAAGCTGCCAGAAGGGGCAGGGTTTGGGCTAGAGATTGGGGCAGAGGGCATCCCAGACAGGGGCAGGGCACCAGCCAGGTCCCAGGTTCCGAGACGGGCTTTGACACAATGCGCAGTGACTGCAGGTCAATGGGGGAGGAGCAAGGTGGTCAGAGTTTGGTGTGTCAGCATAAGGGGGTCTAGAGACAGGGCAGGGTGGGGGACAACTGCATATCAGCACTAAAGCAGAATCTTATGGACGACGGAGACTGTTTCAGAGAGATAGCAAAGGAAGTGGCAGGGCGCTGGGCAATGGGGCATGAGCAGCCAAGCATGGCTTGGAGCCATTGAGGGCAGCAGGGCTACCCAGTGACAAGGGGCACAGGCATGGCTGCGCCTGGGGGAGGAAGTCCACCCCGCTTTGGAACCTGAGTGATGCCAATATCTGGGTGGTGCCAGGGTGCTGGGGTGATGGCAGAGCTTGGGAGAAATGTCAGGGCTAGAGAGAAGTGCCGGTGGTTCTGGGGAGGCAGGAGCCTGGGCCCAGGGGCCTCTCTCAGGAGGGAGCAGGAAGGGACCTGGAGGGAGTGACATGGAGCAGAAGGGTAGAGACTCATTCAAGCAGAATTCAGGCTGTGCGCACCTGCTCAGGACCACTGTTCTGACCTCCTGCCCTCTTATCCCGATGCTTAGGCCCAAAGATGGCCCACACCAGGACCCTCCCCCTAGGAGCGTTCACAGCATGGAGTCAAGCCCAGCAGCCACTGAAGAGCCCGGACTCTGGGGTGAGTGAAGCACGGTAGGAGATGGGGAGGGAGGTGAGGGTGGGCTCTTGCCTTCTGCCTCCTTCTAGACGCCCCCCCTCCCCTTCATTTATCTCCCAGTTACCTTGAGGCCCCTGTCCCCACCCTGCTCCAGAGACTTCTGCCTGTGGTCACAACATTTGTCCTCCACCCATTGCTCCAGACCTTAAGAACTCTGCCAGAGCCCAAGAGCCACCTTGAGAAGCCTCTGTCCTGTTGCCTTGCCTGCAACCCCAAGGTAGGTAGAGACCCTCCCCACCTCACCCACCCATCTCTGTTGTCCCTCATCTGCCCTCCCCTACTGAGGTTTTTGAGCGTTATTATGCAAAGGAGATGTGACCTTGTGGAAAAGCTACTGTCATGGAGACCAGAAGCTGGCAGTCCCTAGGGTGGGAGAGAGAGAAGTTGTATCTCTTTCTGGGTCATCGGTCCTCACTGAGGGAGCAAAAGGGATCCCAGCCCTCAGGGGTGACCTCTCCTCTTCATTTGCAGCAGGTCAAGTCTAGAAGCCAAGATCCTGTCTCTGGTGAGAGGGGCTCCTGAGATGAGGATACTTACAGACAGGCGACTGCTGACAGCCACCACAAGAACTTGGTCTCCCAGGGGCAGAGCCAGTGAATCACACTTCCTGCACTTTTGCAGCCTGCAAGTTTCTTCCCTGAGTCGAGCTCTGCCCCCACCCACTTCAGGACCCCGGAGCCTTATCAGAAGATGCCCAATGCTGCCCCATTCCCTATGGCTGGGGGGATCCTGGTAGGGTATATATTCCAGCCCAAGAATCTATCAGTCCAAGGAGCAAAGGTCATGTAGTCACTGACGTCCTGTCACCAGGGGAGGCTGGGTCATTCTGGGCATTGGGAGAGGTCTCTATCCAGGGAACTTGGGTGTCTCTGCATATGTATTTTACCTAGACCCAGCTCTGCAGAATCCAGTGACTGCTGGGCCAGAAGCCTGGGCTCCAGGGGCCCTACATTTCAGATTGAGTCTACTTCCCTGGAGCCTGGCCCTTGCAAAAACAAAACAAAACAAAACAAAACAATCCACAAAATCCTTGGGATCCTCCTCCCTCCCTTTTCCTGCCGTGTCCTCCAGATGCTTCCTCAACCTCACCTCTGTTATCGGTCCTCTACCTGAGGTTTTGGAGGAGTGTGGTTCTGCTGTAGCCCTCTCACTTTGGACATTACTCAGCCTTCCCTCCATTCCATGGGAGGGGACAGTGGGAGCTGTTTTAAAAAGGATACCAAAGTAGAAGTCAGAAGAAAGATATGCTGACCTCAAGCTTCTGTGAGTCTTTTCTGTATGTAAATTCATCCCCATTGGGGCTCCCTGAGGGTCCCAAGGGGTGGTGGCTGGTGGGTGGAGCCTCAGATGGCAGCTGTGGCCCCAGATGTACCTGGGCATAGGACAGTGTTGCCTAGCTTGAATGATCCCTTTGCCCTGTCTATTCTGCCTCCCTTGGAAGTTCTCAGAAGTCACTTATTCTGTCCCCATTCTTCATGAAAGAATTGCTGAGTGATCTTCTGTATCAGCCAGCTGTTGCTGCATAACAAAACCACCCCCAAACACAGTAGCTTAAAATAACCAATTCTGTGAATTGGTAAATTAGGTTAAACTCAGCTGGTAGTTCATTTGGGCTCATATGTTTGCAGTCAACTTCTGGCCAGTTGGGCAATTCTGCCTCTGGGTTTGGCTACCTATTGCATAGACTGATGAGGACGAATAGACTATGTACCCATAGCTTGTTCACATGACAGCTAAGGAGGGTTCTAAAGAGCAGGACCAGGATTAGGGTAAGGCAAGTGATGCACTTGAGCACACACACAAAAGGCAATCAAGATAAATAAGATCTTAATGCAATCTTTTAAAGGATCAAAATTAAAACCAAAAAATCAATGATGAACAAAATATCAAAATTTTAACTGAACATCAGATCAGTAACAGCGTCATGCCAAGTCATGTTGGAACCTGAGGCAGAAGGAAAAATTCATAGTAGTGATCCTGTCTCATCCTAGCCCCAGCCCTGTCAGAAAGTAAGTGGAAGCTTGTGAGGCCTCTGGGAGATTCTATGACTGGCACATTTTACTTCCATAACATCCTATTGGCCCAAGCAAGTCACAGGGCCGGCCCAGGTTCCGGGGGTGGGGAGAGTAACTCTACCTCTTGCTGGCAGAGCAGCAGGATCCTGCTTCAGAGGGCATGAAGACTTGGGGAGTTTTTGCAACCAACCACTCCTTGCATTGGCAGCAGAGAAGAGGCAGCCCCAGAGGTTGAATGAGATGGTTTTCTAAAGCTGCCGTCTGTCTTAATTGTACCCATGGGATTCTGATTTATAAAGATGACCTGAGTAATGACATGGAGAGGTTAATGCCACTGAAAGAAGTTTTTATTACACACAATTCCCAAGAGAAGGGATCATGCTATGCCATGCAGGATCACATGGGGAAGCATGAGGTTTGGCCAGGAGGCCGAAGGAGGAGTGAGGGGAGAGCCTAGGAAGGGCAAAGCACGGCTCAGGATTGGCCAGGCATGGGGTACAGGGATGGTCTTTAATTGTCAGGTACCTGGCCCTGTGGTGATTTAGGGCAGGGCAAATACTGGCTTGGTAAGAGCTAGAAAAAAGGCGGCGCTTGTGGGTATAGACTCAGAATTGGTTGGTCTGCACATGAAAGACATATTCATAAGGCAAATTTTCATTAACTCTAGGAATTAGCCAGCCCAGGAAGGGGCAGTCTCTCCCCCAAACACCAAGCTCCACCCCCCCAACCAAGCTCCACCCTTGACAACCAAGATGTCAAACCATCATAAAATGCAAAAAAATAAAGAACATCATTAATACATCTCTCCACACTCTCATCCATCAGGGAGGTGTCTGGACCCCATGGGACTCCCACTCATATTTCATGTCTTAAAATGCCTAAAACTGCATGATATGGAGAAAAACCTGCAGGATAAAAACTGAATGATCAAAAGCTGGATTTACCATGAAAGTGGTACTTTGAGGGAAATTGATAGCCACAGTATCTTTTATACAAAGAGCTAAAAGTCAGTGGGATAAAGGTCCAAGTTAAGAAGTTGGCTCAGGACTAGATGATTTCACTGATGAGTTCTACCAAACATTTAAAGGAAAATTAATGCCAATCACTTTCAAACTCTCCCAAAAAAATTCAAAGAGAAGGAAACACTCCCAAATTCATTTTAGGAAACCAGCATTGTCCTGATAACAAAGCCAGATAAGGACCATACAAGAAAACTACAAAGCAATATTCCTGATGAATACAGATGCAGAAATTCTCAACAAAATATTTAAAAAGTGAATTCAACAGCACATTAAAAGGATCATATACCATGATCATGTGGGTTTTATCTCACGTGAGATGCAAGGATGGTTTAACATATGCAAATCAATAAGTATGATATACCACATTAATAGAAAGATTAAAAAACATATCATCTCAATAGATGCAGAATAAGCATTTGACAAAGTATGGCATCCTTTGGGGCGCCTGGGTGGCTCAGTCGGTTGAGCGTCCAACTTTGGCTCAGGTCATGATCTCGCGGTGTGTGAGTTCGAGCCCCGCGTCGGGCTCTGTGCTGACAGCTCAGAGCCTGGAGCCTGCTTCAGATTCTGTGTCTCCCTCTCTCTCTGCCCCTCCCCTGCTCATGCTCTGTCTCTCTATGTCTCAAAAATAAATAGAAACATTAAAAAAAATTTTTTTTAAATAAAAAAAAAAAGTATGGCATCCTTTCATTAAAACCCTCAGAAAATTGGGTATAGAAGGAGTAAACCTCAACATAACAAAGGCCAGATATAACAAACCCTAACATGACATCATATTCAATGGTGATTGGTTGAAATCTTTCCCTCTAAGATCAGGAACAAAATAAGGATACTTAACACCAACCACTCTCATTAAGCATAGTGCTGGAAATGCTAGTCGGAGCACATAGAAAAAAAGGAATAAAAGGCCTCCAAATCAGACAGAGAGAAAATTATCCTTGTTTGCAGATAACATGATTTTATTTTATTTATTTTTAAAAGTTTATTTATTTTGAGAGCAGGAGAGGGGCAGGGAGAGAGAGAGAGAGAGAGAGAGAGAGAGAGAGAGAGAGAGAGAATCCCAAGCCAACTCCATGCTGTCAGCACAGAGCCTAACTCAGGGCTCCATCCCACCACTGTGAGATCATGACCTGAGCCGAAATCAAGAGTCAGAGGCTTCATCAACTGAGCTATTCAGGCTCTCCAACATAATTTTATACATAGAAAATCCTAAAGATTCCACCCAAAAACTGTTAGGACTAATGAATGAATTCAGTATTACCACATTCAAAATCAACATACAAGGATCAGGTGTGTTTCTATTCACTGACAAATTATCCTTAAGAGAAATAAAACAGTCCCATTTTCAATTGCACCTAAAAAAAAAAAAATACTACGGAATATATTTAACCAAGGAGGTAAGAGGACTGCACAATGAAAACGACAACTTTCATGATGGAAGTTGAAGAAGACACAAATAAATGGAAAGATATTCTGTGTTCATCAATCAGAGAAATTATTAAAGTGTCCACCCAAAGCCATTTATAGATTAGTGCAATCCCTATCAAAATTCCAATGGTATTTCTCACAGAAATAGAAAAGATGATCTGAAAATTTGTACAGAACCGCAAAAGACCCCAAATAGCCAAAGCAATCCTGATAAGGGTATAGATAAGGGAACACTAACATTTTTGTTAGCAACTTTTCTTCAAGTCTAAAGTGAGCTAGGGGAACCTGGGTGGCTCAGTAGTTAAGCATGGGATTTAGGCTCAGGTCCTGATCTCACAGTCCGGTTTTTGAGTTCAAGCCCCTGCTATCAGAGGAGAGCCTGCTTCGGTTCCTCTGTCCCCTCTCTCCCTGCCCCTCCCTCACTTGGGCGCGTGTCCGTGCTCTCTCCTTCTCTCAAAAATAAATAAACTTAAAAAAAATTAAAACTACGGGCTCCTGGGTGGCTCAGTTGGTTAGGCATCCGACTGGTTCAGGTCACAATCTTGCAGTTCCTGAGTTTGAGCCCCACACTGGGCTCTCTGCTGTCAGTGCAGAGCCTGCTTTGGATCCTCTGTCCCATCCCCACCCCCCCCCAACCCCCCACCCCACCCCCGTAGCTCTGTCTCTCAGAAATAAATAAACATTAAAAACAATAGTTTAGCATGAGAGAGACCAGGTCCCCTTAGCGTGTTGTGTGGGTGTTGCTGGGAGGTGGGGGGAGGGTCCACTTAGGCGCACATCCAGGTGCTCTATTCAGTGGCTCCCGGACCTACAGCCTGGGGCGGGGAGTCATTCCCATCACAAAGGCTCCTCCCCACAGCAGTATTCCCACTGGCACAGACACTTGGGTTCCCACCAAGCTGGGTTCAGGCAGGGCTGGGAAGGGGGCACCTGTTCCACCGGGACTCTGCTTCCAGCCGTCCTCTCTGTTCGCCGCCCGCCATGGTCCTCTGCCTGGCACCCGCGATGCTGCTGCTGCTTCTGGGTAAGTGGCCACCTCCTTCCGCAGACCCCTGAACTCCTGGCCTCTCTGACCGATCTTCAGGGACAGAGTGAGGGGGCAAGAGGGCGATTCTGGGAAAAGAACCGCAGGAAGGGGCACCAACAAGAGACCTGTGCAAGGGGTGTGCATGCGGACACCTGGTGGCCGCAGCGCAACACTTGCCTTTGGGCTCTGCGGAGCACAACCCGCCCCCAAGTCCCGTCTTTGTACTCCTGCCCCAGACACTTGCTTTTTCCTATTGGGTCCCCTCTCCCACCTCTCTTTCCTTTCCCCAACCCCTCCCTTCCATCTGCAGTCTTGGAGCTTCACACTCGTTCCTTGCCCTGCATCTTCAGGGTCTCTGTGCCACGCATCTGCTGTTCCACCTGCTTGGCTTCCCTTCCCCAGCTGGGGTATTGTGGAGGGAGGGGTCACTACCAGGTGGAGGGAGGTGGGGAGAATGGAATCTGGCAAAGGTTTAAGGCAGATGAGATATTGGGGCTGAGATGTGCTTTTTGAGGGTAACGATGAGGCAAGGGTACTACTTACTGGCAGAGGGAGACCAAGACCTTAGGTGACACTAAGTGCTGTTGTGTGTGGCTGAGGCCTGGGGATGTGAGGGGGCTTGGCTGGGAGAGGAGGGCAAAGTTTGCCTGCTGCTCCTGGCATCCTGGAGATGAGAGAAGGGGAGGGAAGGGGAGGGAAGGAAACAGGAAGGAAGGGCTCCCCCTCTCATGTCTACTCTCTCCACTTACTTACTAATTCTAAGCCCTCGGGATCTGTTCTTTCTACCTGTGGAGCAGACGTGCTGGAATCACAGCAAGAATCACCATGGCTCCCACCATCCAATCCATGGATCCTGAAAGAGGAGGCCAGTGCCAGATAGGGGCCCGGCTCCCAGACCTGAGGCCGGGGCCACCTCCCTCCCTCCACAAACCCAGCGAGATGGATGTGGGGCCAGGCTGGAAAATTTTTACCTAGACTGAAGTGGCTCCCAGGGGCTGAGAGCCCCGTGGGGCATGGGTAGCCCGTTCTTTTGGTGACCTGGGTCCTGGGAAAGGGCTGCCAAGTCCCGACTTCCGAGACCCTGGCTTGGTGGCCAGCAGAGTGCCAGTTGTCATGGCCTTGAGGCTCAGGACAGCTCTGTGGTCTGACAAGAGGGGCTTCTCTGGAATCCACACTCTGGCAGCCAGGCCTAAGTGGGCCTTCCAGGGACCAGAGCCCTTTCAGGGAATCCCTCTTTTGCCTGGCTGGTGGGGAGTGGAGGGACTGGGGGAAGCCAGAGCCCTCACGGGCCAGCAGGGGTTAGTTAGATGGGCGAGAAGGGAGCATCAGAAGGGAATTGAGGCGGGGAGACACCCGCGGTAAGGCACAGAAGGAGGCGCATGAGAAGGTCTGGAAGCAGGGAGCATCAGACACCTATAGACTCACTCGAAGGCTCTCCGTGGGGAAGGGAGGAGTAGAGAAAAGGGAGAAAGCTCAGGTGTCCCAGAGTGTCAGAGCAGCAGCCACTGCCTTCAACGCCATTTCTGATAAATGTCCTTTAGCCAAGTGTCCAGAAGTCTTGCTCTGTTTCCAGTGTCAGGTGGACACCCCTTTGAACGGGTGTGGCCATTCTGGGGAAGGAGTGGTACCTGGGCCTCAGCGCCTGGGGGAAGCCAGGCCTTGGTGCGTCCCATCCATCCCTGACGTGTTGCAGGACTCCCCAGAGCCCACCGCCGCCCATCCCCGCGGCAGAAGGCCAGTCAGTGCCAGGCGGTCACGCCTCCGAACCACACTCTGCCCCTTTGGGCTCCTAGCGCCCTGCATCTTCAGAAGGCGTGGCCAGAGGGCGGAGGTGAAGTGCACTGATAAAGGCTCAGCGAGAACAGCAGCTGCCCGCTCCTCCACTAGGGTCGCCGAGTTCCGCCGGACGGAACCGATGCTTGGATGCGGCCGAGGCGTGCACGGCTGATGCGCGGTGCCAGCGGCTGCGCACCGAGTACGTGGCGCAATGCCTGGGTCGGGCCGCGGCTGGGGGATGCCCCCAGGCCCGCTGCCGCCGCGCCCTGCGCCGCTTCTTCGCCCGCGGGCCACCAGCTCTCACCCACGCGCTGCTTTTCTGCTCGTGCGTCAACGCCGCGTGCGCCGAGCGCAGGCGCCAGACCTTCGTGCCCGCCTGCGCCTTCTCGGGGCCCGGCCCGGCGCCGCCCTCCTGCCTCGCACCCTTAGACGCCTGCGAGCACAGCCGGGTCTGCAGGTGCGGGCACTAGGTGGAATAAGACGGCGGCCGGGCGGGTCTGGTTCCCGGGGTGCCGGCAGGGTGTGGGAAGGAGCGGGGCAGGTCTGCAGGTGTGAGAGGGGTGTGGGGAGCAGCCGGGCGGAGACTGGGCGGGGCAGGGCGGGGCCTCCCGCTCACGGCCCTCCCGCCGCGCCGCGCAGGCCCCGCCTCCTGGCCTTCCAGGCCTCCTGTGCTCCCGCCCCCAGCGCCCCCGACGGCTGCCTGCAGGACCAAGCCCCCCGCTGCCTGCGCGCCTTCGCGGGCCTCGTAGGTACGCACTGCGGGGACCCGGGCGCGGGCGGGGCTCTCCCGGGGATGCCTGCGCCTGAGTGGGCCGATTACCCCGTCTTCGGGGTCCCCGCAGGCACCGCCATCACTCCCAACTACGTGGACAACGCGAGTGCGCGCGTGGCGCCCTGGTGCGACTGCGGAGCCAGCGGAAACCGGCGTGAGGAGTGCGAAGCCTTCCGGGGGCTCTTCACCAGGAACCGCTGCTTGGGTGAGGGGCCCTGGGCGGGGCGGCGCAGACTTGCCCCTTCCCAAGTTTAGAGGTGAGGAAACGGAGGCCGTTTGCAGCAGCCACGCAGCTGCACACCCCTATGCTGCTGACTCGCCCCTGAATAAACCCTTACCCAGTTGTCTCGAAGACAAGGTCACAGACGAAGGTAGAATTTTAGTGATGACTAGGCTGGTGACCCTTCAGGCCGGAGGGAGGAGGCAGTCAAAACAAGTTTCAGAGCTCCTGTAATGGAACGAAGAGAAATTCCTGCTTCTGCCACTTCTGAGGTGGTTCCCCCCTACTCCGGGAATGCCAACGCCTCCACTAATGATCTTGCCTTTTGGGTCTGAATAACTGGGTGGCCTGAGTGTGAAGTCCGATTCTGCCACTTACCAGCCTAGAGTTAGTTATCTCCCCTGTCCTCTTGTGCCCGTCTATAATATGGGGGCTGATAATTGTCACCCTTGTGAGGACGACAGTTTGCAAGGCACTATTAGCACAGGTGTCTCTATTTTGTTATTCCTTGTCATGCACCTTCCGTTCCAGAAGCCAGTCCCTGCAGACGTCCTATCCACCCATCCCACTGCAGGATGCCAGAGGTCTCTGTCCCAGAGGAACTGAGCCTTGTGCTAGGGTTTCCCAGCCAAGCCCACCTTGGGTCCCTTCCTTCCATAGATGGTGCCATACAGGCCTTTGATGGTGGGTGGCCAGTAATCCTGCAGGACCAGCTAGATGTCCACCAGGACCCCGAGAATAGCCTCCTGCAAGTAGGTGTAAGGGAGGGGATGGTGAGCTGGTGGGCCTAAATGGAGGCATGAATGGCCTGGGATGGGGGTGGTGGAGGCAGAGAGCAGAACCCAGCTTCTGCCTCAAGTCCACATTGTCCTTGCACCCCAAAGGTGTCCTCCACAGATGGGCTCCTGGTTGGGAGCTCCCTGCTCCCCATGCTCCCTGTCCTGGCTCTCCAGCCCCTGCTCTGACTAGGACAGCAGACCTTGGACAACATCACTGTCCCATCCTGCCTGGGGTACAGGGCCACATCTGCACCCTACTGCCCCACTGAAGTTGGACTGGTGTGCCTCCCAAGCTAGCCCCAGTGCTCTCAGCCCACTGCCCTTTTTAGGTCTGCACACCCTGTGTGCCTGTCCCCTAGAGTGAGGGATGTGGGTTGAGGGTCTGATGCAAAGCCCCTGGTTTCCCTTTTTGTGGGTTTCTTGGTTATAGGTCCCTTTCTCCACTGACCTTGGAACAGTTGGGTTCTCCCACAAGATAGGGATGGGGGGGTCACCTGTGTTGCTGAGGCCTCACTGGGACTCCAGATCACCTAGAGGTCAGAAACCATCCAGATTCCCAGAATTCTAAGAGATTTCATTAGCTTCTTCAAACATAACGTGCCCTAAGGAGTACATCTGAACAGACGTTTAGGCAAAACTTTTAACACTGCAGCCTTTCATGGCACTGTCCTAGTGAGGCACCCCCCCCCCCCCATCATGATAGCCACCTATGCCCCATGACTTATGTTGGCAAAGTTCTTTCCATCCATGATATGCTGCTTGGTGGGCACCACCTGGAGTGAGAGTCCAGTCCCCTGCATTGCACTGGTTGTATAGCCATCTTCCCCATGGCTTAACCTAGCACTATGAATGACATCCAAAACTCAATAAACCACATGCACTGAGACTGGCCTTACTTTCATGTGATCTGTCTTGGGAGCCTGGAGACCAAGGTCAGCCACAGGGTATGCCTCTGCTGGTCTGTGACTTCAGATGTCCTCAGAAACAATCTGGACTACATTTGCTCACCTATGGATGCCAAACTGAATCAACTATTAGATCCTAGTGGCAGAAATTTCTGTTGACTTGTCTTCTCTGCTCGTACTCAGATACTGAAAACTACATTTCCCAGCTAGGAGGTGGTCATGTGGCACAGTCCTGGCCGTAAGTGGAGCCACAGGTGAGGAGGCTTCCAGGGGAGCTCTTGAAACGGAACTGATTTGTTGACTGGTCCCTTCAGCCTTTAGCATCCTCTCCCTTCTTCCCCAGAACTTGATGACAGTGCCTGGGGACATTGGTGCCATTTTGAAAATGAAGCCACATGACATTGTGGAGTCACTGTACCAGTCCCCATCTGCCTCCCTCTAGACTTCACTGTATGAGAAAAATACCTTTAGTTTGTTTAAGCCAATTTCTCCACAGACATCTGTTATTTGCAGCCAAACGTAGTCTCTGATTGTTACTACCATCTCTGGGGTGCCATGGAGTCCCAGGATCACTTAGGGGACCCCCTCCTCAGTGTGCACAGAGCCCAGACCTGACAGACAACTTCAGAGTGGTGCTAATTGCTTTTTTGTTTCCACATATTCTGCCTGCTTCTGTCCATATGAAGAGTCGAATTCTTTGCTGGAGCTTAGGGAAATTTATCATAGAAGTTTTCACAAGTACCCATGTGTGGACCCAGCATATGCCAAGTGATTGTGTTGATTTGCAGTTCTGCAAAGGTGTTTGGGGAGGAGAAGGCAGAACAATGGGGGACAAATACTAAGCCTTCTGCCCACTTCCTTCTTCCTCAAGAGCTTGGAGACTCCTGATGAGTAAAGGGTTACAGAGTCTCTGGCCTGCTCCTTCTCAAACCCTGAGTCTTGTCAGGGGCCGTGAAACAGATTGAAGTGCATGTTGTTGGTGCCTTGTCAGAGCCCTCTCTGGCCAAGCTGCTGGGGAATGTTGGATGTTAACACAGCTCACAGTTGTTCCCTTCTCTAGAAGAAATGCCTGTAGGGTTATATTCTGTTCTGTAAGGTGGACGGCAGCCTTGGGGTGGGGGGACAATTCTGTGCAACATTCATGCCCCAGAACTCCCTGTGGGGGATCAGGCTGAAGCTAGATCCTAGCTGAGACCACATCCTAACTTAGTGCTTTCCCCTGCCTGCTCCTGCCTCCCTTAGAGGTTCCCCTGAAGGTACTCACTCTGATAAATCATGGCCTGAGAATTCCCAACTTAGGCTCAACTTCTGGAGAACATCACCTAAGACACAAGGCTTAAGCACGGATCACAACAAAGCCCAGGCTTTGGGCTGTCCTGACCAGAAAAAGAGCCACTGGTTCTGAGACCGTATGTTTAGCAATCACAACAAACCCACAGACACCACACGTGGCAGCTGTCAACCAGCCTTCCAGCTTCAGCCAGTAATCTTATTGGAACCAAACACAAATCAAACCTGCTTGGGTATATACCTGAGCAATCTGGGCATCAGGCACAGCTGTCTCCAGGGTTTCAAGTGATGGTGCACTTGTTGGTCTGTGCATAGCTTCCCTTTGTAGTCAGGCAGGCTCTCACTGCAGGGTGGGTAAGAATGCCATCAGCAGCTGCAGATCTAGTCTCTCCTTTTAGGAATCTCAGCAGAGAAAGGTACCTCTTTTACCCATCATTCATGGACTGAGCCAGGCAGGACCTTGGTGGGCCCAGTGTCGGTTATAAGCCCCTTCCAGTGGCTGGGGAGTGACATCAGCCCACAAAGATCACATGAAATGGGAAGCACAGTTCTCTAAGGGGGAGGCGGGGGTGGGGGCGGGGAAGGAGGAATGTTGGGCAGAGTGAAGCTCAGAGTCCACCCTGTTTATGAAGAAGGAATGTTCTCGACCATATTCACCTGCATGGGAACGCGCACCTATATGTGGGCTGGGGAGAGACGGGGTGTTTGTGTGTGCTCGGAGCTGAGGCAGAGCAGTCTATTCACCAAGACTGCATATGGTGATCGAAATGGAGGATTAAATATCTGCTAAATGACTGGCTGTATGTGAGTGTGTGTTAAACTGTGTCACTTCATTTTTGTTAAGTTTTTAAAAATGTAAGTAACCTTGGGGCGCCTGGGTGACTCAGTTGGTAAGCGTCCGACTTCGACTCCGGTCATGAACTCCTGGTTCATGAGTTCGAGCCCCCACGTCGGGCTCTGTGCTGACAGTGTAGAGCCTGGAGCCTGCTTCGGATTCTGTGTGTCTCTCTCTCTGCCCCTCCCCTGCTCATACTCTGTCTCTCTCTCTCAAAAATAAACAAAACATTAAAAAAATCCTTTAAAAATAAAAGTAATCTCTACACTGCATATGGGGCTCGAACTCACAACCCCAAGATTGAGAGTCACATGCTCGCCTGACTAGGCCAGCCAGGTGCCCCTATCACTTCATTTTTTTCACTCAATTAGAGTAAAATACAGGCACACACACCTTTTGGAAGACTGGGAAGATAAAAAAGAGCAGAACCTCGTTGCAAACATGGCACTGTTCCACGGAAGCTGGCGGTCTTCCTTCGGTACTTCTCCCCAACTCAGGCACAGCCTTTAAGCAAATGGTGCCGCTTTAACATCAGACAATGTGCTTTGGAAAAGAGGCTTCCTAACTGGGTGCAGTGGGAAAATGTAAGGTCACGGGGTTCCTGCTGCCTGGCTGTCTGTTCTTCCTCAGAGTGAAGATTCCCTTGTGGGAGGCTTGAGGCCATTTGGCGCATGGACCCAGGCAGCTCTGAAGAGAGAAGCCAAGAGGAGGGGACCAGGCGCTGTGGCTTACAAAGGTCACCATCTTGCCACCTCTGGGCCAGTAGACTTTCCAAGGGTTTTGTTGCTGTAAGGGGCTGAATGGTGGCTCCAAAGATACATCTGCATCCTAAGCCCTGGAACCTGTGAACGTTACCTTAGATGCAGGCTAAAGAGTGAAAGTTACCTAATATAGCAAAAGACGTGATTAAGAATCTGGACAGAAGGTGCTTATCTGGGATTATCAGAGTGGGTCGTAAATGCATCCTTACAAGAGAGGCGGGGGAGACTGGATACACATGGAAGAGAGGACAATGTAAAGACAGATATGAGAGTGATGTGGCCACAGCCAAGGAGTGTTGGTGTCCACCAGAATGGGTTCTCCCATGGAACCTCTGGAAGGAGCAGAGCCCCACCAACTCTGTGATTTCAGACTTTTGGCCTACAGAATTGAGAATAAATTTCCATTTGAAGCCACCCAAGTTGGGGAATTTGTTACAGTGGTCCCAGGAAACCAAGAGTTGTCTGAGTTCAGTTTTTGTCACTTCTACCTGAAAAAGTCTGGCCAAATGCCTCAAGGCTGAGTCCAGCTGTGCCCACCACCCCCCCCCCCCCCCATGACCAGGAACAGGTCCTGCCTTGTTGGTCCATATCTGAGTGTTGGCCTCCGTGTCCTTCCAGGTAGCCTGCTTGCTGTCACTCTTTCATGTGCACTTGGGGACACTACGGTCCTGGCCCTGGCCTTATCCCTGTGACTGGGCCTCTGCTAGCCATTGTCAACGCTGAGCTTCTAGCTGGCAGGTGGCTGGGGGTGCGGGGTGGGGTCAGGCAGAAAGGCAGGTGCTAGGAGCATCCGTGGATTTATTGGTGGAAACTTCACGGCTCATGAAAGCGCAGTCTGGCTTGGAGCCTGCTGTCTAGGTGCAGGGTTGATGTGGAAACTGCATGCTGATCACCTCCACCCTCCCCGTGCATCCCCCACTCCAGCTGAGTCAGGCAGGGCCAAACTCACAGCAGCTGCTCGTTTTTTCAGGGAGTGGGGACACAGGTGAGATTTCAAGAGAAGCAGGACAGGGGCCATGTGAGGCTCCAGGAGACATCCCCCCAACTGGACAACTTGCCAGGGAGCCTGGCATGCCCGTGAAAGGAGACAGAGCACTACGCTCCACACAACCGACAGGTCACCTGGTCTGGTCCTTTTCCCATGTTGGCGACACAGGATGGGAGGGGATTCTTGTCAGGCGTCACACACCTAGTAACAGAGGGCTGCAGGGTGTGTCTGTTCACATGCAGCCTACACATGTGTAGGTGGGGCTGGGGACTCAGATACCAAGAGTGATGCTGCCACTGCTGACAGACCTTTCCAGAATGATGGCCAGTTCTGGGTAAAGTTTTGAAGAAAACAAGGTTTGGTCTTCCCTTGATTTTACCCAATAGTTTGATTTCCGGAAAACGAGACTGTATCAAACCAGCTCTCGAATCCTTGTGGTTGCAACAGGGTTGACATCTACACTAAAATAATCAGGAACAGATTTGCTCATCTCCACAAATATCGAGCAAGACATTTAAACACCGAGTGGGAGGTGGGTCAATTCTTGGCCCGGGTGGGGCCATCCCACGTGTCACAGGATGACCACCTTCAGGCTCACCCACGAAATCACAGCAGCGCCTCCCCCTGCAATGCAATAGCCAGAATCACCCCCACCTGTTTCCCAAATGTCTTGTGCCAGTTGAGAACCGTGCCCCACAGGCCCCGGCCAGGCCCAGCTCCTGCCACGGCTAGGGTAGCCCACTTTGTTTTAACTGCTCTGGCAGCCTCAGAACAGCACAGACCCAGCAGGCCTGCTCTCCCTCTAGGCCTCTGCACCCACTGCCCCCCTCTCTTTCTGAATGCTCTTGTCCCAAACATCCAGGTGCCAGCTCCCTCCTTCATTCAGCTCTCTGCTCAGCTGTTAACCTGTCAGAATGACCTTCCCTTGCCTCTCTTATGTAAAGGAGCACCTGGCCCCCTGTACTTTCTGCCCCCTACCCCATTTGTACTTTCACAGAACTCACCGTCTGACATTGTATTCATTATCTGTCTCCCCAGCTGCACGGTAAACTCAAGGACAGGGATTTTGGTCTGTTTTGTTCACTGGAATCCCTGGTCCCTACACAA